TTTGCATTTTCAAGGAGAGGAATATAGTTGTAAAAGAAGAAAAAAAATTTCGCTTATACAGTAATTTGATAACTCCAGTTCTGAAAGATTGCCCGGCAGGTAGTTGTGCGATGTTAATTGACTACCTCTAGCCGCAAATATACTTTTACGCTGAGAATTTAGCACTCTTCTTGAAGATCGAATAAACCCTTGGGGATTAAAGCGTTGATTTTTTCCCCTGATCTTGTTTTCTTGGAACTTTAGCTGTCGACGAACTACATAAAGAAATGCAACGCTGCTAAGCGCAGCAATTTCTGAGTTTCTCTTTTGTCTCGGCTCGACTTTTCGGCTAGACTTTTGTGTTTTTTACTAACATGTTTGAAAACTAAACCTGAGCTTTAGGTGGTTCATATATTTACTATTTTTATGCTCTTCATAGTCTTGAGCAGTCTAGTACGTCTACTTTGCTAGTTAAGATCACTAATCGGGATTGTGATGCGCCTTGGAGAGTATCAAAAATGATAGAATAAATAAATGCCTAGAAGTGAGTAAATAATACATGTTAATTTGTCAACAGTCTAAATATCCTTGAAAAAATTTTCAAACACAAAAAACTCTTCGGTTTTATCTGTCGAGAAACATCCGATAAAGCCGTAAAATTTTCTTAGCATCCAGCACGAGTTTTAAAAAATTGCGAGTATATTACCGAAGTGTTGGCAAACTGCTGATACAAAATAGTTCCTAAAAAACTTATTAGTAACAAAGAAGGCTTGGTCTCGAGTTTTATAACTTTTCTGGTTTTCAGTCCAAATATCAAATCGTGAAATGAGCATCAAAGGTCGCGTGCTTCTTGGTAATTTATGGCTACGCTATTTGCCTTGAAAATAGGTATGACGCTTTTGATTCGTTTGCTTTTTTCTGCAAACGCACATTTTTTTTACAGAATGATAGAATTAGAGCCTACGCAGTAAAACTTTGTGCGACATCAACATTATCTGAGATTATCCCCATTTCCTTGCAACGTATTTACCACCCAACAACGTTCCGTCCGTGTTTTGTCGTTTTGCAAAAAATTAGAACAGTTAATTCTAAATCAAGATTATTATAGATGAACTTATCATCTGAAGAAAAACTCCTTTTGCTGCGTCTTATTGAAGAGGACGAAAATCTACAACCTGAATGGGGTTACTTGGTGTTGGCTATCGTACCATTTATATGCATTATTGGTAACTGTATGGTTGTGGCGGCAGTCTGGACTACTAAGAGTCTACAGACACCTACAAATCATTTATTAGTAAGTTGATTCAGTTCGAATTGATTTTTATAAAGATTACTCATTCAGGTATCTTTAGCTATGGCGGACCTCATCGTAGGTGCTTTCGTAATGCCATTTAGCATATATTTATCGGTAAGATTTGATATTCCAAAAATTGATTTTCTCTTAATGTTTGAAAAATTCTTCTTAAAATTGGTTTATCGACTTCAACTATAGTGCTCCTGCGGTGATCGCAACGTTTGCGCGGAAGCAAAAGTCATGGATGTTGCCGTCAACTTGCTTGTAACTTGCGCAAAAAATGGTCATAGAGAGTACTCCCTCAATTTTACGCGCAAATGTTGTCGCCTTTGTAATCATGTAAAACCGAATCTACTAAGCTATGCTTCCATTAGGACTAAGGATTGTTAGTAGCCTGTGATATAATGAAATTAATGCAAAATACTACTTTAGGTTAATGGTCTACATTGGCACTTACCTTTGCCTGTTTGCCATTTTTATTGTGTTCTTGATGTTGCTGCAAGTACCTCTTCTATCATTCATCTTGTGCTTATAAGCATTGATCGGTGAGTTTCTGAAACTTCTGTGGATTTCACATACAAGCTACTTTCACACCATGGGATTTTTTTGCATGCATTTTTCTTCAACGCATCATAGCTCTTTTTTGCATTTATTATCAGAAAACAACTTTGTTCACATTTTGTAATCTCCGAGAGAACAGTGGATAACTCCACAGATGTTTGCGGAATATTCAGTCTTATGTACAAGCATCCTCTGAGCTCTTCTTTTTGGAGTACCTTCATTCCTCATTTATTCAATACCTTCATTCCTCATTTATTTGCAGTATTCGCTCAGTCTAATTTGGAAACTCTGTTTTTTGAAAATGCATATGTCGTCATCAGCGATTAATCTTCCCAAACATATGTAAAATCAAATGCCTTAATCTCAATCATCCATGTAAGCCCATCAAATCGAGCTCCTTTTAACTTATAATGAGCAGATTGATGCCTAAGTAAAGTCGAGTAGATTTATTGGTAATTATAGTGTCATTGCAGTGCCAAGATGCTGCGATAAAAATTAGGCGTGAACAGGTGGCCATTACACTTTGGACCAGATCGAATGATCGATTATTCGAATAAACCATTCGAATGTGAATGATTCGAAAATTCGAATATTCGAAAATATGAGGTTTCGAATAATATTCGATAGTAGAATATTTGAAAAAATCTTCGAATCCCTAAGTATAGTGGCCACACCCGCAGTGCTAGCATTTTGCACGCGCAAATCGCCGGCAACCCAGTAGCTGTTGTTCGCGCGCAAATTTTACCGCATAATCTCGGCACCGCAAGGGTACTATATTTATCACATATCTACTCGACTGTACGATTCTCTCTAAAGGTCGTCCGTTTTACAAATTTTTACTCCAGTCAAATCGTTCAAATCTTTACCATTGAGTTTAGTAAAGACCCCTCATTAATAGGCAAAATGAGGAATACAGCAAGAGCTTCAAAGAACTCGTTTCACTTCCGCGTGTCCAAACTTGCAGATAAAGAAAGTGGATTTACGCAACTTTGCAGAACATTAAGCCGTGCTACTCTCCGAGAGCCCGAATTGGAGCCGCGCTTCATTAGGTAGGCGCGCTCAATTCTGCGATTACGGCAGAGTACGAATTAATGAACAGAGATGAGAAACATAGAAGAAGAGTTGGATCAATGTACAAAGCTCAATCAGGGAGAGAGAACTATGCGAAAAAATTTTGGCTCTCCAAAATTCATAATAGAACTTCCAAAAAAGGGGGTGACAATACTGACTAAGTAGGATAATTCTTACAAGGTTAATTAAAACCTTTTAAAATAAAATTCTCTTGATTATGTAACTACCAGTAGATACAAGTCAATTGCACAATTTTATAACAAATGCACCACTTCCAATGTTTTGCTACATATAAAAAGAAAACTAAAGGTAACCGAACCAGAACATTACCAGTAGCCACTTGGGTACGCAAATCTATACCAACATACCAGTGGCGTACCCAGGATTTCGGCTCGGGGGGGGGGGGGCGACAAAAAAAAAATTTTCTAAAGAAGGTGCGTGGCGTCGGCTACGCACTCCGAAAAATTTTTTAGTATGCTTTCTAAAATTTTCGCTGGCTCATAACCCCGAGATTTCAGCCCCGAAAAAAAATTTTTATAAGGCAGAAATGAATTTTTAAAAATTTCAAAAAATATTTTAATTATTTACAACATGTGCACTCGGACGAAATGATCATAGTAGTGACAATTTCACCTTTTCTACAATGAAAAAGTCAGAAATTAGCAGGCGAACCGGGTTGGGAGTTTTCTGCAAGTTACTTACACGAGTTTTGTGTGCACGTGACTTCTTCCTACTTGCAAATAACTGAAGTGATTTTCAAAAATTTTAAAAAATGGAAGTCAGCCTTGTAAAAAGGTTTTCTGGGTATGTAGGGTTCGCAAAAATTTTGAGAAGCAGCCCAAAAAATTTTTCGGAGTGCGTGGCTAACGCCACGCGCCTTCATTCGGGAAAAATTTTCTGCGAGCCTGCCGCCCTCATCCCCAAACGGAACTTCCACACTGCCTCTGAAGAATACTATCATCAAATACAATCCATACCTCAATAATGACAGATTTGATTCATTAGGATGTCTACAATATTCGGTTGAAAAAAAAAGAGTGCGTTTTTATAGAAAAGTAACAAGACGATTACAAAAAAAATATGAGAGGGGTACCATTCGATGGAGCAGAGTGAGCTTTACAAGATAATCTTTGAACAGTGGTGTGCTTGGTAATTTACACAAAGTTGCAAGTCAAACATAAGAGCAACTCGATGTTAAAAAGTCGGATTTTTGCCCAAGAAATCCCTACAAACTCCCCACTTGCTCCTGCATGGAACAGAAACATGCATTTATCCACATGTAGTTGTACACTACACACCTTCGAAACATTGACCATAAGATTTCGGCTTTACAGATGCTTTAGTTTTTGAGAAATATCAAATTTAGCTGATCCCAAAAAAAGCGACACTCTTCTTGTCCCAATTTGATAAATATCGGTTGCTTTTGCAGCTCAAATGTTGCAAACAAATTTTTTCCAGTGATTATCGATAGAGCACTTTAATGAGAATATGTAAATTATGTTCGGGAAATCCATTTCCCTTTGGAAAAAAAAGGCTCAAAAAAGTGAGAGACCCCAATCTTCTCACTGTGTGCGAATGTGAGAGATTTCAATTTTCAAAGGAATTAGTAAATGGCAAATCGAAAATTTTTCGTTTAATAAAAACGTAGGTTATCCCTCATCTCTACATCCATCACAGCATGGCGAAGCCCAGAAAAAGAACAAAGCTTTTGGGGATTTAGCCATAATGGGGTATAAGTGGATTTACAGATGTGATAGTAAAAGCCAGAAAAGTCAAAGAAAATTTCTATGAAAAAGCCGATATATCACTTTAGGCTAGTCGCTGCCACGAAACCTGCGGAGTACAAGACGCAAAAGCACAGAAAACGCGTCTATGTTGCTATAATGCTTACATGGATATTCAGTATCGGAATGTCGCTCCCTTTGAGTGCGTTTTATTTCATAGATTATCAAACAAATTTGACGGCATTATTGAAGGCACTGGATTCAACACACGGACGAAACATTTTCTTCTTACCGAGCATCATTGTGGAATTTATAGTCCAATGTATATGCTAGGCAGCAGCATATTCGCCTTCTACTTGCCTTGTTTTGTCATGTCAATCACTTACGGTTACATTTTCTACACACTGCGAAAACGTCTTCGCGCTATTCAACTACAGGTAGGAATTTTCATCAATATATGAAGGATCCTATCTAAAAATTTTGTAGGAGATGGCAGGAGGACAATTTCTTGGCTTTGGTGCTGACGTCGGAAACATAACCACATCAGCTATACAATCTGTTATTGGTATGTGAAGATGTACAATACCGCTCGTATTCTTGGAAAAACGAAGTGCAGTCGCCCTACTCATGTGACATAACCGTAGCGTGGCCATATCTTGCTTCAGAATGGACGAATCTTTGGTCCAAAGGCATCATTCGACTCAGCTCGGTGCGACGCATCTTCTGATATATAGGGGCGCCCGCTTGGACACGGTAGGAGGCCAGATTCTACGAATCATTTCGGATTTTTGTTCACGTTTAGTTACTCATGTGCCTAATCGTTGCACTCACTGGGCAACCTACCGTAAGCAAAAATCTGAAACTTTTCGTGGAATCTGGCCTCCTATTGTCTCCGAGCGGGCTTTTTATATATCAGAAGATGCGCGGCGCCGAGTCGAGTCGTATAGTGTCCTTGGATTAAGAATTCTCCACTCTGAAGCGAGATATGGGCACATTGCGGTGAGGTCGAATGAATCGGGCGACTTTGCGTCGTTTTTTTTCAGTACGAGCGGTATTGTGGTTCGCTTTGTACGACCGTACGGCTATATTTTAATGCAAGCCCGTAGTAGTGCGCGATCCACTCTGCGGTTACTATAGAGAATACCATGTTGCTGATAAGCTCCGCCCGCGCGGGCATCTGCCACAAACCATGCATTACATGCCAGATGTCCGCGGGGGCAGACCCCCATCGCCGACATAACGTCCTCTATTCTGCGCTTCCATTTGCCTAAGCGAACTGGGGAAAGGGAGGGGAGAGGGGGGAGGTAGTTACGTGCGCGACGCGTTGTAGCAAGCCACGCGATAGGGCCTTAATATAATGTAGTGCAAAAGGGCCGTCTCACATATCTGTAAAGGATAGAATGTAGTAAATTTTCTTTTTCTTCAGGCATAGCACCAAAAAATCGAAACATGATCACGTGGGAGAAACCTTTGCTGCGAAAAATAGAGGAAACTGCTGCAGAACATGCCAGTTCGTTAAACGACAGCGAAAGAGAGCAGGCTAGTTTGCATAGTTAGACATAGTTTCAACTGAACGGCGTCTTTTACAGCTTCAAACAATCCTAGAAGCTGTTCATCCCTCTTCTACAGAAAGTCAGGACTACATCACAATTGACGACGATAGTGATCGACCGCCATCGGTTCTTTTGGAAGCAATAACGTTAAGATGCGAACATTCTAATCATGGTCCGATGTTGGAGCTTCCACGGCCAGCATATGCCAAGAAGTTAGATTATATTCAAAATCAGCAGCATGCAAAAAGGGTGAAAGGGGCTCTTTTGCACATATACCGTATGCTACCGCAGTCGGGCAAGGCATACGATATGGCAGCCGTGACCAGTGAAAACTACCTAGCACTCCGTCCAGCATTACAGTATTGTACTGTAATGGTACAAAAGGGCCCCTTTCCCAAACAGCACTATGAGGCTATTGTCGTATTCAATCTCACTTGTACCTGCTTGTATTTGAAAGTCCCAAAACTTGTTTCAGCATGTCGCGACGATTTTCTGACGCTGTACAGTCCATCTCCGCACGCGGACGTAAAACTGTCAGCTTTCGAACTTCTCGAAACCGACGCCGTTATTCTGAGATACCAGTTCGACCCGACGAATGCCAGGATTTGAACACCTTGAACAGTCTCAAACCACCATTGGTCAGTTTTGTTTACATATCTATATTAGCACTGATGAGAAAAAAACCAGAACGCACAAAAATTCCCTTAGGCTCTTTTCGATTGAGAGAGTTGAGGCCCGAAGTAAAACTTGACACCTTTTTAGAGAGCCTAAAAGCCATTTGATTTAGAAGCGAACACTTTCTCTTCCTATTACTACTGTAGTAATAGCTTGTGTTCACAAGAAGCACAATAAAGGCCGTGCAGATGACGTAAGTCAAAAAATTGGACTGATGCTTCGTACCTCCTCAACTAAATCATTCCCTGCATGAACTTTTCCCAGAGTTCAGATATACTAAGATTCTACAGTCCAGAGTACAGCTTCAGCACAAAAAATATTGAAATCAAAGCAGATGTTTCACTTTTTTATAAGAATGGTTTCGAAATTGTAAAACAAGCATCTCATAGCAGTAGATCATTTTGAATCTTCCTTTGCCGTGTGCAGCTTCATTTGAACATACAATCTCAAATATAGATAAAGTTTAGGCTATGGATAACCAAATTTGCCGCTGACTGCTTACTTTGGATGAATATGGCCCATCCGAAAGAAATCTAATGGCAACTTTGCGCAATCCAAGCTTATTTCCATATATACTCTTGATAAAGCATATTTCTAGAACTTCAATAACTGGAATTGGGACTGGAATTGGCAGCGAGCTATTGCTTCAGATAAGCTACTTGAAAAAAAGAGCTAGATTTTTAAAAGAAATTTGTGGATTAGAGACTTAGCTCTGGATTAGAGACTTAGCTCATTTGCAATAAAATCGCGGTTTGAATTTGCGTAAAGGAAAAGCAATGTTAGTCAGAAAAGATAATTTGAAAGCAGTTGCTCAGTTAGTGTGGTAAATGTTGTTGTATAATGTAAACCTTGTTATATCTTTATGTTTCAAGAATGCATGCTCACATTTCTTCACCCTATCACAAAAATTGCAATAGGTTCTAGAGAACCATCATCTTACTTCGCTTAAAACCTGCATCCATCCCGATCATCGGTGTGTTTTACCCTCACAGCTAACTAATTGCCCTCCCCCTCTCATACAGTGAAAATCGATTGAACATTACATCATTACTGAAAGTTCTCATACCACCATTAACATAGAATTTTCAGGAAGAGAAGCGAAAAATGAGGCGGCTTTCCGAAATTATCTCCGATTGGGATAGGCCATCCACTACGTCACTTTCTCATATGTACTCTTATGCTCGACGCGAAAGCGTCTACATCGCCAGGAAAAAACTAGCGGGACTCAAAGTAACTGTCAAAGGGCTTAATTCTTTTATAACCTTAAAGTAATTCCTTTAGGATTGGGCTCTTGATCTACTGGCTAAGCTGAAATCTAAGCAAGGAATGGCGATACGCAGAGAGGCTCGAGCCACGAAACTTGTTGCTACCGTCATGGGTACGAGAACCTACTGATACCTTATACTAGTTAAGAGCTACCATTTTCAGTCGTCTTTCTCGTCTGTTGGCTACCTTTCTTCACATTGAACATGATCAAAATCTACAAGCTTATCTATAACTCTTGGCCAGTGGACTTGGAGATTTGGTTTCATTGGTTCACGGCTCTTGGTTATTTAAACTCTTCTCTAAACTTTTTCATCTACTCAACTATCAACCCCGTAAGGATTACTGTATATGTGCAGTCCAAAGTTGAAAGAACAAATTCAGAAGATTTGCAGAAGTTCCGCCATTCTTTTCGAAGATTACTGGGTTTTCGCAGATCACGAAGGCAAAAAGAAAAGTCATGGATGCTTCCACCCAAGGAGAGCAGCAAGTATGTTCATGCATAGTTTATATTTAGATGGCTGCAAGGAGGTAACCACAATAGAAGCAAAAGGAGAAGAGCTCTGACGAAAAAGCAGAATGGAGGTTATCCTTGCACAGCTGTGAAATCCCGCTAATTTGAAACAAGTGTTAAATAGCGCAGTTTTCAAGAAAAACAATAAGATGTCCTTTTAAATTCTCAGGCTTCTGGATATTTCTCTGGAGCTCTCTCTAGTCAAGTCCTCCATCCCATATGCCCTGCATCAAACTTGAATCTGTCATTTCCCACAATTTATTGGAATTTTTGGTATGCCATGCACAAAAAACAGAGAAGCATGAGCTTGTTAGCAATGCTTAAAGCAAAAATTTTGAAGCTATCAAGGGGTACAAATTATAAATCATTTGAAAGCTCGCAGCTTTTGGAGCCATTCAGCTCCATAAGTATTGCATACTCTGAAATCTAAGGACGGTCAGCATTTCGGACCTACAGCTTTTCCAGAGATCCAGCAAAATGTGGTTGTGGATTCAACAAGATTGTCAAAGTTCCGCTGCGAAGAGCCAGTTCAGTAGGGTAAGTATTATGTGCTAACGGTGCTATTTTATCTGCATAGTTTGCTATTGGTATTAGACCTTGGTAATACAGCTAGATTAACTACCAGTTGTTCTGGTCATATTTCCAGAAAATGTAAAATTCTAACATTAGAATTTAGGAGCTGCATAGCAGAAAACGGGGCTCAGCACGAGGTGGCTTTCCGGAAATGCAAAAAACGAAACCTTGACTTTCTCAAAATTCTACAAACCCCTTTGGCCCTAAACCATAAACGTAACAAATTCTCAAAAAAAGAAACGTCGACTAAAAAAACATTGTATTTTTCGGCCTCAAAAACGATATCCCCTTTGCTTTTTGTCCCAAAAACGATATCCAGCTTGCTCATAAGCCACCTGTGCCGAACCCTGGCAGAAAACCTGTAGAAAATTACCTTCTTTTCAAAATTAACTGGCTATGTTCTTAAAATATCATCTTAGGACAACCGATTCGGATATACCATGCATGGCGTCAAAATTGAAAAGGTGAAAAAAAATTCAGATTCCATGGATGCCCTTCCTAGAATTTCATGACACGTAATTTTTCTTTGAGACCACTATCGGTCATATGTGTTTCGTGATTGCACGTTAGCATATCATTTGATGGATATAATTTCTTGATAGAAAGTAGTTGTATATACTCGTGTTCTATTCCCACCTTAACTTCGTTCAGACCGCTAAATCGCAAAGTTTCCATGCAAAAACCTGAGATCATTATCGACGAAATCTCGCCAAATCAGTTTTCCATTTCAGCAGGAGGAAACACGACATTCAGGTAAGATCCGTTCAGGAAGATTGCTGTAGGCTAGAGCTGCGTTCTGAGAAATGTTTTAAGGGGTAAAAAGTTGCAAATAATGCTAAAATGTCAATGACTGTCAAAGCGCATCGGATCTGACAAGGAAAGGACCCTCAGTCGAATTGGACTTTCCGCACGAGACGCATATCATTCGTCTTTTAGCACCAATACCTGATCCGTATTCCTTAGCTGCTCAATGATCTTCTGGGAAAAGTTATGAGCGACGGTTCTTCACGATGACCACTGCACATTATAAGCCTTAAGCGCCAAGGAATGTACAAGTGTGGACGGATGGGCGGGATAGCTGCGGAGACTATGGCGCAGGTGGTGAAGAGTTCGCTTCCCTATGAAACCAACTTTGTATTTTGGCAAACTGTTTGTGAGTTCGCTGACGATTTTGAGCAAGGAGACCCTTTTCGAAATCGTTTGCGAATTCACAAAATATAATTTGCAATGCAAACTTTGGCTCCATAGGGAAGCGAACTCTTCACCACCTGCGCCATAGTCTCCGCACGTATCCGGAACACGGATCTGATACTAGTGCCCTGAGTCCAGCAGAATGATAGCATCACGTGTGGAAACCCCACTTCGACTGAGGGTCCTTCCCTTACGAGAAAATATATCGAGTGATCTATCTTCAAAATCACAGCTATTGAACAAATTTGCAGTTTCTGATAAAGAAAAAACTTCCAAACTTCTCTTACATACTTTGCCAGATAAACTGCTTTAGGAGATCTTCGGATGACTGCATTCGAAGATCCTCATCGGAAATTATTGGTGGTATTGTGCTTCCTTCACAATCTAGCAGCGAGAAACGAAGGTTAAAGAGAATCAAGCGCTAGTCTCGCAAATCCAAGAAAATAAAAATTTTCATCGAATTTCAGAGGATCGGGAATGTCTAACAGTTCGGCATCATTAACAATCCGAGAAAGCAGAATGACATTCGAAGCAATGGTGCACAACCAAGTGGATATGGAAATCTTTGTTTGACGATAGGTCTTTCTTTGAATTTCGTGATGATCTCAGATTTCTCGAGGCTACCAATATTGGAAATTGTTTCCTTACTCTATAACTCTAATCACAGACACTACTGGTGTAAAATACATTATTTTGTGCTTAAAAGTTTCCCAACTTGCAAAACAACCCCATCTCACTTTCATTTGTCGGAGGATCTCAGTAAGTAAATATCGGGTATAACTGTTATTGACTGTTTGAATTATATTTGAGAGCTTCATATTCTCAGTTAAGATTGCATAAATTTCTTTGGATAATTGTTTTTTCTGTACCATGATAAGTAAACTACATTGATTTAATAGTTTAGAACAGCATCAAATGATTGATGCAATGACGTTGTGGCATTCAAATAATTCAAAAATGTTTCGTTTCTTCGAACTGAGGATATCTAACAGCGGATCAGGTAGCGAGGCTTTTTCTCGAAAAACGTTGAATTAGCGTATTTACGCTTTAAAAAGATTCCGTTAATGAGCAAACAAGATCTGCGATCCTTAAATCTCATTCGCAACAATTCAACATCTTTGCAGACATTAACTTAGTCTCAACGATAAGATCGCTTTAGAAGGCTAGAAACAGTTCAGAGATTAAGCGATATCCATTTCAGGAATTTTCTTGAGGAGGTAAAAATTTCTTGTAACTTTCTTGGAATACGTTTTCTCATTTGTAATATATCAATATTATGGTGCGAAATTGATACGTGTTTTTGCAAGCCTTTTCCCAGATAATCACTTTCCATCATATTCTCTCTTTCAGAAAATATTTCGCAGGTCTTACGAAAGCTCCTTTCATGCGCTGTGCGTTCTCAGTGAAATAGGCTTTTAGCTTTATCGGTTGAATTTTCAAACAATCTCGAACAGCTGTGCTTAAAACCATAGTTTCAGTATATTTACCTTCTTGGTCAGCATTCAAGCGCAAATAATTGCATTCTTTTCGAAACCTATCGATGGGGCAGTAACTTCTACTTACTGCACACTTAATCGTGTCTTGCGAAATTATATACTAGACTGAGAAATCAAAGCTACAGAATGGATGGTCGCTGTGGGCAATCTGTCCCCAAAAATTTCTTTTGAAAGAGGCGATCGCAAGGTTCCGCTCATTTCTGCAAGGCTCAGGGTAGGACATATTGCTAACATTTTTCGCAAGGATAGCAGTTCAGTACACGGAAAATTGCAAATCATAATGTGCGTCTTTCGGGCTCTAAAAGTAGCTTCAAAAATGGTGCACTACTGGCTAACGGCCACATACTAAACTGATTACCACCCACAGCAATAAAACTTGAAAAAAGTTGTAATTTGCCAAAGACGAGATTCCAGGAAAAAGGTTTTTGCATTTCAGTGCTTGGATTTCATTGCTTTTGTGGTATCATTACGAGCGAGTGTGAGCTAGATTACGAAGGGTTTGCCGCTTCTGAAAGGCATTAGTGCACTCATGAATATACATTTTTGGACAGATTTATAGCTCTTCAAAGTGAAATACGCAAAACATGCTTTATTTTTCCACCACCTTTACTGGAGGCATGGACATAAATCCGGCCGAACGGCCTGGGAACTGAGCTACTCCGCCTGGTGAGCACACCGGACGAATGCTGGACTCTCCGGACCAGCGGAGAGCGAGCGGGCATGCATGAGAGCAACCACAGATGTCAGGACGTGCGGTCGCCCAGGCGGTATACAAAATAATCCAACACCGGACAGTCGCCAAGAAGAGCAAGGGTCTCAGAGCGAATACATGAAGCGCGAGAGTTGTGCGTTCGAATTTATCTTGGTATGTTTTGCTTCTTTTGAATATTTTTGGACGCATTTCGTTTTACAACTTTCCTTGTAATTTATGCGTGTGGATCATAAAAAGTAATTACATACCAGTAACAAAACTGCTTATTTTCAGATCTCAGGCTTACTACGCTTGGATTATTCATCTTATTTTTTATTCTGGTCATTACGTGCGAAGGAGCTAATAATTACTGGTATTTTCCATCTATTTAAGATTATCTTTGGTTTTCTCCCACTCAACAGAATTCACAAACTCAGAATTGCGGGTTTTGCTAAAGTTTCGCTTAAAAGAGTTATTTGAGACGCTGATCACGAATATCATAATGACTTTGTTTGAAGCGTTATCTAAGATAAGGTGATTTGAAACAAGACCATTAATGTGTTCCAGACTATGTTCACGGTTTTTTAGCTAGCAGATCACGATCATGTTTAAGAGAGAACATTTTTCTAAGTTACTTAATCCAACACTTCATCTAGCTAGTAACAGAGTGTGTCGGCCGTCTCGCCGTCATAGGCGCATAATATCGGGACGATAAATCAACTGCGGTCTCTACGTACTTTTACGATGTCATAGCCTGCGTGCGATGGAAGCGAAAAAATGAAAAATGTCTTACGAGTTAGGTCGCTAAGTTACGCGTGCAAGTTTTCTAATATTCACTTTTTGGGCAATTCAAAAATTTAGCACAATGTACTTTCCGTAGTCAACGAAGCTGTTGACAGAGTAGCCGCGAATTTGGCACGTTTAAGTGGACTACGTGGAGAACAGTAATATAGGATCGGAAATTAATGACAGTGAGTTGAATTCATGTTGCTTCATAGTTCATAAAGGAACGAGCTCCACCCAAGAATTAGATGAACAAGTTTGAGTGGATCCGACCTAACTGACCTTTCTATTGTGTAATATTTTCTTTTCTCATTTTCTTCTCACATGTCTTCTTAAATGAAGATTATGCAACTTTTGTACCCAAATACTTTCACTTCTTTCTTTCACTTACTTCTGTAGTATAAATGAAGTTAATCATTTGTTCTTCTCGTTCATATTTTTCTTTATTTCAATCAGTTTTGAGAAAGCAATCACTTTGTGTACCCATTTACAGTTCCTTCGCACAAATTTGAAGAACTCAAATGCTTGCAGGCTCAGCGATTGCCTTGTAAGTATTTTTAAAGAAGTTGTATTGTTCTTCTGGATTTGAACTAAACTGGTTTTTGATTGGTTTCATACGCATTTGCACATAGAATATCCCAGAACTATAGCAACATCGGTTTGAACGGAAATGGCCCGAAAAGCTAGTTGCCTCGGCTGGTGTAGCTTGCCAGATCGCTCGGATTTCATGCGACCGGAAGAGCGCATAGCAGTGGCACAACAGAAACTGAACGGTCCGGCAACACTGAATGCCCGTGCACGGTGTTTGCGGACCGCTGAGCAGAAAATTTGTCTGAGGGATTGTAGCTTCTCGATATACACAGATTACGCATGAAAATATTGACTTTAAAGATATTTTCGAATTATGTTCATGGCGAATTTCCGACTTGCGCCAATAAAAAACTTTCTAACTGATTTCGTATAAGCATTCCGCACCATTAAATTCATAAAAAAAATCTGAAAAGGCGTACAAGTAAAATGATAGTATTTTGAAGGATAAAAAAATGCTCGAAACGCTGAACTCCTGTCCGTGGAAATGAAGATGTAGTGATAGCACCTTCTCCGACGACTACAATTTTCCAGATGAAAGATTAGGGTGTAAGTTGTGTTACTCTAACGATTCAGTTCTCACAAATAACCGCTTGAGTCGAGTCCGAGCAAAGTTTAGTATGCCTACACCATACTTTGACAATAACAAACATCCACTTGACTTCAAAATAAGAATCAAATGAAATTTTCGTAATATGCATTTGGAGAGCGTTTTTTCTGTGCTTTTCTCCTTTTTCCTGGCGCATTACGAATGAGATTTTAAGGGAAATCTGAGCTTGCTGCAGAGTGAACCCTAGGAACATCCATACCTGTGCTAAGAGCATCTAGATGCCAATCTAGTTATACGATCTCGAAACGCTTTCGGTTTTTCGCAGTTTTCGCTACGAAGTGCAGTAGTCTTTAGATAAATTAACAAGGCTTCTGTTCAATGATCTAGCTACTATTCCCCTTCATCCTCAATCCCATTTTCTCCCTATGCATGCGGCTCTAAAAACAATGTCCTATACTGCAGTACCAAGTTCTTCATCTCCACACACTCCAACAACCTACAACTTCGTGAGTTTTAACCCACTTTTTAAACATCCATGTTCAAATTCTCAGCATATGTCCAACTAGGAACTTCCGCTGGATGCCACAGGACTCGTGAAGCTAGGATTAGTAGTGCTACTACTGACATCAGCTTCGCGATGGCAAAAAATCTGTGACGAGGTTAAACAAGCCCTTCTAGCTGAGAGACTTCTTGCAGATGATAGGTGGGTACTGTAACTAAGATTAAATCAAGCATAAAGGGGTGGGGGAGAGGGAAGAGAGGGAGCAATGATAAAACACTGACATAATCTGTCCATTTTTTTGCATTCTTATATTGCTATTAGGTTGGAAAGAATGTTCTCGGACATTTTTAGATCAAATCTGTTATATCTCGAAATCTATAGCATGTACATTCGCAAAAATTTGCATCTGCACTCCCACGTGCCTGTAGCTGAAAATCAAGCAAGTGGGAGGAGCCTAAGATCAATGAGGGCGGAGTTTGTCACTTTTCAATTACCTCGTTTTTCTTGTTGTTTAGGCTCAAATTCCACCCGAATTGCGCGTGTAAGTATATAAGTATGTGTATACTATAAACTGGAGCATGTAGGGGTTTCGTAATGATTATAGAAGTTGGAGATCTGGGTTAGAGCAAAAACCTGTGCTTTCGAATTTTCGCCTGGATTTTTACTGAGAACATTGATAAGTCTTGCGCTTACCATAGCTTTGCAGAGATTGCTCTTCCCTATCCAATGGTTTACAGCATGTCCTAATTAGTGCTTACACTGAAACAAAAACTTTCTCTAAAGGCAATGTCCGAGAACTTTCTTTTCAACCTAATATGTATACAATTTTTCACCAACAAAAAACAGGCTATGGATCTGAGGTTCGGCAGAGTTATTGCGTTGCCGCATAGTTGGCGCGTGAACAACATCAATGTGCGCCCTATGGCGCACATTGATATTTTTTTACGCGCAGATGTTGTTGTCGCCGCACATGCCGTAGGAGCACAACATTTAACGTCAGATTTACGGCACAAACGACTTCGTACAGAGACATGATGCAAAGATGCTCTACTAAATGTTACCCTGCTTGACACTTGTGGAAACTTTCTTTTCTTACAGGCTCAACTCGTATATAATAGAGCGCAGTGGACCTGATGTTCTACAAAGAGCACGGCTTACGTTTATGAAGCTTTGCGGAACAATCTCAACGTGTGGAATTGTACCACCTTTTATACGTTATGAAAGCAGACAAATGGTGACAATGAGGCAGTTACGGTATTCTACCACTAATGATAATTTTTGAGGTCGCACCTAAGTATGGTACAGCAGCATGTGTCATATACAAAAACATGTCGACAGTAATGACGGCTATTATATGTTATTTATTCGACGTGATAGACTACCAGAAGAATATGGGAAACATTATGGAGGATACCTATGCCTTTCGGTGAACCCAAGAATTTACTTATGATCTGAATTTACTATGTTATGAATTAACTTATGTAAATTTGACTCTGGTAACAGACTCAAAAGCTTTAGTACTAGAGTTTCTCATTCCAGCTTTTGCAAAGGAAAGAACGAGTACAATTCAATACGGTCTCTGGATGCTTTTCGGCTCGGCCCAACATACTCATCATGGCTAAATATTATAATTGTACGAGATCCACTCGAGCGATTCATTTCCGGCTTCATCAATAAGTGTCTTCGGTACAGCTTTCTTTTTTTTATCCTTTTCGGTTCGCTTCATAATTTCCCCAAGGAGTGATAACCCCTTGGGCTTCGGTAAATCATAAGTTGTAGCTTTTCAAACTAAAAAGCACAGGGTAAGATTCAGAAAAAGGGGAGCACGGAGTTTACAGTCTCACACAAATGAAGCCATTATTTGTAATTAAAACACAAATCAGAATGTAGCCTAGATCAATTTATCGACTAGGAACTGCAGACAGAGGTTAAGCTTATCAAGTAAGCTAGTGTCGCTAAAATCTAAATTAAATGACTGTTTGTTAAGCAAAGATTTATCTTTTTTTTTCCAAGGAATTTTAGTAGAAAACTGCAGCGCAGGTTGAACTTGGACCTTCTTGTTTGGGACTCGCGCAATCTCAGCAGCACTCAATCATTGTTGTTGAAAACTTAAACATTGCTTTCTCTTTCCGAATAAGTGCTCCCTTGTTCGCATTCCAAGGAGTATTTCAAAAGTTTAGTTCTAAGATGCCAAAATCATTGCTGTTTGTACTAATGATAATACTACATAAGTGAAAACGCCCCTACATACAAAATCTACGGCTCTGCGCTGGAACACTAGCGAAACTTAGCCATAGAGCACACTCTTCCAAGTTTCTGTCCCATGGCCATTTTCCAAGCGTAGGTTCTGTCGGCACCGCAGGGGCACTATACTACAAAAATCAAAGACACTATTAGGCTGTAGGTCCCTTCAAAAAAAAAACTTGAAGGCAAGCGCTGCTGTAGTGATCATAAAAAATGTTTAATATATCCAAATTTTTTATTGCAAATTTAGCAGTATTTTAGGGAGACTATGAGACCAGGTGCATGCTACAACTGTACTGGCAATGTAAAATGTGTAATAGAGAAACAGTACGAACGGCTAATGGGAGACGCACAAAAGCCTTCACTAGTCCATACAGTAGAAGATGCACATTTCTCCCCCCAAACATGGTAGGTTATTTTCAACTTCCATTGATGGTTCGCAATTGTACACGAAGTTTTTGCTTGCCAAAAAAAGTTGAGATGCCTAAGTAACCCTTTCTTCGCCAACTGGCATCCTATTTGGACGTTGCGCAAATCAACGAAAATTTTTAAGCGATTACAATGACGAGCATAATAAAAATCACAAATCTTGTTCTCTCTTCACATAACTGTTCTCAACTTTTGAATATAAAGCGTCAGATGCTAACAACAAATAAGTGCTAGGGAGCTGAGATTTCCTTACAAAGAACTTTTGTGGCTTTCTCTTCTTTGATTTGCAGTTTATAGTACTCTCCTAATACGTCGCACATGTGAAAAGAAGCGCAATACAATTGAAATTACACAGTTGAAATTGAAATCATTTGAAATTACACTAGAAGCACATTCGTTCATTGTTTTGTTAGACGTGCTGTCCCGAATATCCAGCCTCTATCACATATGAAAATTCCATTCAAAGTCCTGATGTATTAGGTTGGTGCAAAAGTTCGTTCGCTCCATTTTCAAAAATTCATAACTTCCGATTTTGTCAACCAACTTGGCTGCATTTATTTTTATATGAAAGAGTAACTCATGCTCTTCACAATGACATCTTAGCTGCTGGCTAATGATCATCCGCTGCATAGATAGGAGCGATAGAAGAAAATAATTCAAAATTCGAATTTTCTGTGTAGGGTCATAAAAAATCGAAAACTTGCGAGAAAAATCGGAGCAGTTAGTATTGTAGGTTCTTTTACCAGCTCTTTCTAATGCTGCAAAGTTTGCGTCGATTGAGCGTCTCTATGAAAAGTTATGATTTTCGAGCAAGCAATACAAAAGGGCGATTTTGATTTATTTTGGCATTTTTCACGGAAATCATAACTTTTCATAGAGACGCTCAATCGACGCAAACTTTGCACTATTAAAAAGAGCTGGTAAAAGAACCTACAATACTGACTGCTCCGATTTTTCTTGCAAGTTTCCGATTTTTTATGACTCTACACAGAACATTCAAATTTTGACTAATTTTGTTCTATTGCTCCTATCTATGCAGCAGATGATCATTAGCAAGCAGCCAAATTGTCACTGTAAAGAGCATGAGTTACTCTTTCATACAAAAATAAATGCAGCCAAATTGGTTGAAAAAATCGGAAGTTATGAATTTTTGAAAATGGTGCGAACGAACTTTTGCACCAACCTAATATAAGGTTGATCCACTGTTCTTGCACAAAAAATAGAAGAAATTGGTTCTAAAAATGTTTGAACTAACTAATCAATTTATATAATATGTTCTTTGTTATGTATTGGTCAGTGGCGAGCGCAAGATTTCTGTCCGGGGGAAGGGGGAGGGGGAGGCAAAAATTACTTTCAAATGAAAGTGCACGAGTAGCCATGCGTTCCGAAAAAATTGGGTGCTTCTCAAAATTTCTTCGGGTCCATAACCCCTAGAATCTAGAACAGGGGGCAAAATTCCCGATAAAAACTTTTATGCAAGGCTAATTTGAACTTCAAAAAATTTTGAAAATTATTTGCTTACAGGAATAAACAAGTCACTTCATTTTCATAAACCATGTAAGTAAATTTCAAAAATTTCGCGACCCATTCTTGGGTGGGGGGGGGGGGGGGAAGGAGAGAGTCTTTGAGTCAGACAAAAAAAAATGGGAATTCCTATTGTTGAGACATTCGACCTACTTTGAAAAAAAAAGTAGGTCATGAATAAGACCGAGAATAAATTTGCATCTCACTAGGGAAGGATACTTGGTCGAAGTGGCGTTTTCATAGGAAATTTATACTGTCTTACAGAGCATGGAACGCTGATTCCGAAACAGCTTTCGGTATTTGCAAAGCGCTTTTGGGAGGGGTGTCAAGGAAATTTTTTGACGTAAACATTTTGAGACGCAGCTACAATAAGATCTTTCAGAACTGTAGTCTATGAAATTGGACGAACCATGATTACTGTCAGAACGTTTCGTGCAGTTATTGCCTTCGTTCTAATAAATTTCAGCTAGTCGTTACTCATTCAAGCGCCGGAAAGACCTTAACATTCGTTCTTACCTTAACCAAAATCTTGAATTTTTACCTCAAAAAACTCCCGCAACTCCCATCCCAAAAGCGCTCCGCAGATACCGAAAGCAGATTCGGAATCAGCGTTCCACGCTCTATATGACAGTGTACATTTATTATGGAAAGGCCACTTCGACCAAATATCCTTCTCTTGTCAGTTAAAGTATTAGCAATATTAGCGATCAAAATTCGACAAGGTAGGTACTTTTGGGTACTTCTCTAAATCAGCCTGTAAATTGCCATACGCCTATATAGAATTTCATCGGGTTGATGCATAATTCCTGCACCAAAATAGGTACAATAATCCGGAATTCTCCTATAATCTAAATAGGATTTGATATATCATCAGACAGATCAAACCTAGCTCTACAAGATGGTGCTCAAATATCTGAATCGGCTTCAATTTACGCGAAGTTTCAAGCCGAGAACTGGAAAAACTCATGCGCCCGAAAATCTTACGCCAAATCTAAACAAAATTGCAACCCCGTTCAAAACACTCCTACAGAAGTTTTTGCTTGCTCAAGCGTAGGCATTCCATGTAAGACATTAATCTATGCAGCTGCTGTATTTTTTTTTCAGCTAGACAATGAAAAAACAATGTTCATGTTTTTGGCAAATCAGCGCTGAGATGTTCTAGCACTAACAGTTGTATACTGCATGCATTTAGCAGTAAAGTCCTATATTTTCAGTCTTCTAGGAGAATAGTTCACGAGAGATCGAATTCAGCATTCCTTATCCAAATTTTTCTTGCCTAGTTGCCAAAAATTCAGTATTTCTTGTGAACCAACTGTTGTAGAAAGCTGAAAATTCACATTCATGCTTCTGATGTCCTGTAGTATACAACTGTCAATGCTAGAACACCTCAGCATCGTTTTGGAAAAACATGAAAAACTCCGTTTTCGCAATTTGTAGCTGAGAGAAAAACAGAGCAAGTGCATAGAGAATTGTCTTCTATGATATGCCAGCGCATGAGCAAGTTAGAATTTTTGAAGGATACTTTAAACGGACTTCCAATTTTTTCTTGGTTTTTTGGGGAGCTGATCTTTTTCGTTTTTGGCTTCAATCTTCGTTTGGATCAGAGTTGCTGCGAAACTTTGAGCACTATAATGTACAGCTGCTTTGCTCTGTCGAAAGGTAAATCAGGAACTATTTAGGATATAGAAAATAAATGTATTATTGCGGTCTGTACCTATTTTGGTGCAGGAATTATGCATCAACCTAATAATTCAAGTGCAAGCGAAAAGCGCAAGATTTTCTCTCTTCGATATGTATCAATTATGAGATTTCACTGGAGCTAAAGAAAGTGAGCGAATTTCAAAACTTTGGTGCAAGTATGCATCGAACACATATCTACCTAAGATATAAAGAATCGTAACGCCGATTCAAAAATCATCAGATAGCGGGAAACCCCGCGGTCGCCGCGAACGTTCCTGAAAACTGGCACCATATATCACTGGTAATACTGAAAAAAATGCATAAATAAAGAATGAAAAGCTCTCAAATTAGCGAGATGTGCATTCTAATAGTATTTGTAGCTCGTACACGATTTTTCGTGCCAATACCTCCCGTTTTCAATCGGATCTCGTTAAGGCATTGCGAATTGCGTGAGAATCTGCGGAAGTACAAAATCATCAAATACAGAGGAACGAACACTGCGGGCCTGTTCGATGAACTCGAAGCGGAATTGAAGAAGCGTGGAGTGGGCCAAAGTGTGCTTGATGACATAAGAGCACAGGTTTGTTGATGCAAGCAAATTTCGAACACTCAAAAGACCTACTTTAAACGCACGCATCTGGCATAACTTTGCTACATACAGTCTGTGCTAACACACGTGCTTACTTTCTGCAGTAACTATGCGTTCGCAACGCGTGCTGCGCACCGAATCTCCAATAGATGCGACATCTGAACGCGCAAGCAGTACGTCAGCGAACGGAGCACGCCGCATTTGCGTTGCCCTTAAGCTGACCGAAAAGGGAGCACATCTTCACGCATACTGCAGCCGCCGTTAAGTTTGGTCCATATGTGCAATTGCACAACTCTACGAACCTCGCAATTTCAAAAGAGAACGCCCGCTTTTAGGGTGCATAACTAACTTTGCTTAGTTGAAATAAACTCGGCTTATTATTAGTTTCATTCTGAAGTCTTCATTTATTCTCTTGCTCTATCCCATCGGATGGAAGCAGCTCCTAATATATGGGGACCTGCAGGATCGCTAGAGTCGGACGTGCGTACGGCCATTGCGCCGCGCACGTCAGATGTGCGTCCGACGACTCAGGTAGGTGCCAGACTTATCCTGTTGAACAGGTTCTTGGTTCACCACCTCTGCTGTTGGACAATGTAGTGATTTGACTTATGAACCGAACGAATCAGCTGAAACGGTTAAGTCTGGCACCTGCCTTAATGACAGCGGACTGCGCAGCGCAATGGTCGTACGCACGTCCGACTCTCGCGATCCTGCAGGCCCCTATATCCCATCGTACAAAATTTCGTTCCCATGTAAATCTTTGAGTGAAGCATGTGTATGAGGATGCCTTGTCAGAATCAAAGCCTCTCTGTTCCACATCGAGATCTCCTTCTTAGATGCTGCGGGTATGACTTTGACTCCGCATCGTACTACCGCACCTCTCTTAGAGGCAACGTCCAGGCAAGTCTGGACACGTGGGGATTTCACGTGGATAGGATAGTAATTTTGGGGCCCTAACTAAGCCACTGCCCAACCGGCAGCTCAGGTAGTGCTCCAACGGCTGAGATATTCCCCTCGAAACTGGACCCCGCGATCGTATTTCGCATGGATTCATGGCGCAAAGCGTGGGTCCTGGCGCGAAACTGCCATGAATCCATGCGGATACGATCGCGAGGTCCAGTTTCCAAAGGAATATCTCAGCCGTTAGAGCATTAGTGCGCTGCCGCTTGGGCAGTGCCTAGTTAGGGCCCCCAAAGGACAGGGCTCCTAAATTGCACAGTCGTTTGCACCAGCGGTCGCGCGACCGCGTCGCGCCCGGGCATCAATGGCGCCGCCTCGATCGATGGCGCCGGCAAAATGCCCGGGCGCGACGCGGTCGCGCGACCGCTGGTGCAAACGACTCTGCAATTTAGGAGCCCTGTACTTTCCATGTAAAATCCCATAGGTCCAGATCTGCCTGGACGCTGCCTTTAAAGGCAGTGTCTTCGAAGGATTTCGTTTTCCAGTTTATCACTTTTCGAAGCCTTCTTGCCATGAGGAATCCATCTGGGCTTCAGCGCATGAAAGTGGCAAAAACTAGCTTTTTCCGAAGCTTTCTAGGTCCACATTCAGTGAAGATACGCCTGAAGTCTTTCGCGCCCCGCCTCCTCAGTCCGGGCCCCGCCCACTTACGTGCATTCTCCACCGATTGCGAGCCTGGAAAGGGAAAATTTTCGCCATTTTTATGCGTTGAAAACCCCAGAGGATGTTTCATAGCGAAAGGGGCTCCAAAAAGGTGAAAATTCAGACTTAATTTAATTTAAATTTTGAAATTCTGCCAAGATTGTCATTAGGTTTCTGTGTGAAAAGGCCATCAGTGGGTCAAAAAATTTCCTGTGACTATTAGCAAATTCACGATTGCGATTTTTTGGTCCCTTCATGTGGCATAGTACAAAAAAAATGAATATGAAGTCAGCAGGCCAAATCAGGACCCTCTCTTCGCTGTGATTTGCCTCTGACAACCGGAAATTGCTTTGCAGTTGCACTTGTGAGGAGAATGACAGCGGTCATATCTGATTCCATCTGCTCACATTTCTTATGCATGCATAAGTCAGTAAAGACCATGCAGAAAAGTAGTGAACAATTACCACAAAAAAGGATGGCCGTGGGAACGACTTTGATTGCAGGTAGTCTACAGACGAACAATTCACCAAACCTACAACAGCTATAAACGCGTCTATTACGAGAATATGATTCGAAGCTCACCTTATCTCATGGAGATGATTGTGAAAATGTTCTACTACGATTACCTAGTGTTTGGATACCCCTTACCTCAGCTTTTCTGAAAGAACAATGTACATTTTTTAAACATAATAAATGCGATTCGACGTATCCATTCAACACAGTAACCATCATGAAGATGATCTCGTATTTTCATATAGGGAAACACCTGCATATCGTATGCACAGAACAAACAAAAACAAAACAACGAGTAAAACAACAACAAGAATAAGTAGAGTATATGATATCTACAGAATACGTCCCTTCTTTCTCATTACTTTCAATTTATTCTTCTTCTTATCGTCTATCCGCTTTTGTAAATTCTCTCTGCGTTTTTCTTGTTTCTTAAAATCATTTTGACAGTATTTCAACTGAAAAACGTCTTGACATATATAAGGTAAAATCACCTTTGCTTTTTCTCTTTCCACGTTCTTCTCTCTATTTGACCACTGTTCCTTTCTCTTTTCTTTCATTTTTTCCTTTCGCTTCAAGCCTTTCTTCAGTAGGTCTATGTTATCCTTGAAATTAACAATATTCTATGCACTCATGGTGCCTGAAAGTTCTGAGACAGTTACCTTGACTTTAACCCCTTGTGCTTTTTTTACAGCTCGGTTCCATTTTATGTCCTCTTCGACCTCAACAGCACGCTCCGGTTCTTTCTCGCGCAGCTTTTCGAGCTTCTCCTCTCGCTTCTCGACCTGAGATGCACAACGATACCGAAGAGTCTAGAGAAAAATATTCATGCGTACCTTATTTATGAGTGACTTATAATCTTTCCCCGTAAACTTCTGCTTCTTCTCTGACGTAGTAAGCTACAAATGACAACCATAAGACATTAACCCGAGTGGTTTCTGACAACTCTAACCCTCTTCTTCTTGCCATCTGCCTTGATAAGAAAATCAAACTTCGAGAATGAAACTGGTTCGTCTTTCGTTTCGACCTTATCCTTCTTGGTTCTAGAGCAGGCTTGGTCACTCAAGGAAAGAGATTGCTGTAAGGGAATCACCTACTCTGCCTTTACATCCACCTTTTCACGCTTTTCTTCCGATCTTCTTTGCTTCATTTTCATTTTGCTCATGCGACGCTTCAACTTTCTCTCCTGCTCGAATTTCATTGCTGCCATCGGATCAGCCGTTGCCTTTTTCTTGCCTTGGCGACTTGCTATATCGAATTCATTAGTGATTATAGAAAAAGGCATTAGGTTCAAATGCTTTGGTTATAATTTTAAAAAAACTAATCGTATAAAATATCTTCTTTCTGAAACTGAAACATGCAGCACCTTTCATGGCCTTGAGTTTTTCTTGTAATTTCCGTATGGCCATTTCTCTTTGCTCCAGAACATCCAGAGACTGGTCCTTACTTACACAATGCACCGGTTCCTAAGGAGAGTCTCCATCGTATGGGAAAAACAAGATGAAAAACACATACAGTGCTGAGTTTGGGCTTTTTCGCTTCGACATCCTCTGCGTTTGCCATAGGACGTTTCAAAGGCTTCGACTTCTTTGTTTTTGCTTCTTCTTCCTCTTCGTCAGTAGAATCAGTGTCAGAGACGTGCTTTGCAACCACTGTTGATGGACTTTCTATCTTCTGATCTGATTCAGGAGCCCTGATAATCCAGGAAGATGCAGCTGTAGAGATGCGGGATGTCAATCATTACCTTGTAGAAGCCTTTGGGAGAGCAGTGGGAGCAATGTTCTCGTCAGAATCATCACTGTCACTATCGCTTTCTCTCGAATCAGCAGTTTTCTAAACAAAACATATTTATATACAATTAGAGGAGGGGCTCTAGCAGCATAAAAATGGCTCTAGCCAAAATGTTCCAATCGGAGAAGATTTACTACGGCTTCTTCTCCAAAAGAAATTGTGACCGCACTGGCATGCACTACCCGTGCGTCACTGAGTCTACGTTGGGAAAGTCAAATCAAGTTCTAAAACAGAATAGCTTGATTGAGCAAGTAAAATATCCCAACAACCTGCATATAGCATATCAACCCGATATCGAAACATACAAAATGTTTTTATGACTTTTACATTGAACCCCCAGAGCGCAGCAGAGCATGTGTATGATAATCGCTTGCAGCTGATCTGGCAGCTTGTATGAATGATGACCCCATAGCTGATATACTACCCCCCAGAATGCAAAAAATCTCTGAACTTCCTTTTGTTTGTTTTCTTTTCGCAGCAGAGAGGAAAATTCCCTAATTCATCTATATGGTAAACCCAAGAATGAGCCAAATAAAACAATAATATTGAGAAAACACATCATGGGGATTATTTTGTGTATAGAAGTATAAAATAGATATGAATAGTGCATGTTTCGAAGAAACAGCTGGACCATGAGGAATCGTTTTCATATCTATTTTATACTTTTGTCTTGCTCTCTTTTGCGTCGCCGCTTTCGCATTCGCTACTGTGTCATTATGAGTGATGCTGGTTCTGTTCAACACTCCAGAATTCAGACAGTTGTTTGAGGCAGTTTCTGTACCACTTTTTATCAGAGGTGTGCGAGGAAGGAAGAGTGATTGGGCAAAAAAACTCAAAAGGACAAGCTACGAGTTCCCTCACATCAATGACACTCTTTACTCTAAATGACTCCTCTTTAAAACTGAACACGGACCAGCCCAGGGCAGCCTAATACCAATCAGATGTTAAATAAAAAGTTATGAAGAGGTACGCAAATCATATAAAGCTAAAGAATAAAACATAAATTGTGCGAACACAGTTATACAATTCATAATGTACTATTTACCCACTTTCACGGATTCCTTCGGTTTTTTCGCTTGTTCGCCATTACCATTTTCGCTCACTTTCCCTTTAGGCTCCGAAGGAAGACTTGCCTGAGGCGAGAGAAGTAGGAAGCTACCGAACCGTTAAAACCACTCACCTTTTTCGGTTGCACGTCCTTCGTAGAGCTAGCTCCAAGAAGATCAATAACTTCAGAAACACGTTTACAAACCCCACCCACGGTTCGGGCTACCTGTTGTTTCCTACTATTGGTCAATTGCTTTCTTTCCTCTAAATGATGATTACATAGTGGCTGTTGCGTAGCAAACAAGACCTACTAGGTGTGAGCTGCTGATTCACTATGCGATGCTTTCGCTGTCTTAACTTCTCCTGCACATCAGAGCTGAAGCCCCAGCTCGATAGGGGTATTAAATCGCATACCCTCCTCATCTATAAATAAACGCAGTAAGCATACTTACTTTCTGCTTTGAGCATAATTAACACAAACCTTGGTCTCAATGGAGGCGATCCTCGTTAATAACTGGACATCAACAAGTGGTTCACTTTCTGCCACCGCAGACATTTCTGTGAATATCTTGACTCTGACATATGTTCACGAGATGCATACAATATCTAACCAGTAACAATACCAGATAGTGAATGAAGAGACCGCATAAAAGAAAATAGATGTTTATGACAAAATTACATTATGATATAACGAAAAGATGTTACACGTACTCTTGTACTAGAACTAAGATCAGCAAATGTATACATGGCATAAAGTGGTGAATTCAAAACAAAAACACTCAAAGCCCATTGAAGTCAGCACTTCAGTAATGAGCAAAGGACAAAACAACGATTCACGACTAGTTCCTTTGCCTATCTAATTCTACCGTAATCAAATCTTAGCAGCTAACAGGAAGTGAGGCGGCACACATCAGGGCAGATATGTTCCAAAATGCTCGAAGCACCCCCTGCAGCTCGCTATATTGCCTAAGTATTTTCCAAACTCTTCAGCAGTGAAGTCATCTCTACTGCTGTGAGTTTGGAAATTACAACCTACCTAACCTACAAATGAAATCAAGGACAGAAATTGCACAACTAAAGGAAAAAACGGCCTTGAGGGACTCATATATTACGAGATCAGCTAAAATCCCACACAAAGAGGAAATTCGAAAATAAAACTGAAAGCACAAGTAGATATAAAAAGTCAAACGATACTGTGACAAGTCAAATCTGTCAGCAAATTACTTTCAAATCGAATAAACGAATGAATGACTAAAACTTTTTCAAATACTAAAAGTACACCTGAAGTAATCGCAAACTAGGCAGGAATTAGCTCTGTGCCAAGTCGAGTGCGAACAGCTTCCGTGCGAGTCTCTAGTATAATCCAAACATCTTCAGCAAGTGCATCTACGGTTGTGTAACGCACTCGCTTCGGATTGAAAATATCCACCACAAACTGAGTGATCTGCTCCTGCAAAATTACGCAATTCAACAATTTTTTTTGGATTTAAATGCGATGTGTACCTTAAAGTACTGACACAACTCCCCGATACGTGGGTCTGTTCCAAGAAAACCCAGCGTGATCGCGGGCGAGACGGCCTCAGAGACGTTATAGATATGAGCGATGAAACCATTTGGATCCTACATAATGCACTTTGAAACATGTATTACACAGTTGGAGACATGCTTTACCTTCAGCCGTTGCCGTTTAGCCTTGAGCATTGACCAGATAATAGTGCTTATTGTTGAGTATTTCATGGAGTTTGAGAGAAAATAATTTTTTGTGACTGAAAGGATCGAAATAAGAAGTGAAATATTTTGAAGCAACTGAAACACGTGCATTTCACCAGAAAATGGGATAGCATCAAGCGTAACTGTGAACTTTTTGCAACAGCGGAAAAGCAAAATTACTATAGAGAGAATCCTTACGAAAAACTCTTTCTTTTTGATTGAGATTGGTTAGCATCATCAATGAACATATGATTAAACTTGCCCCTCCCATTGGTCCCACCAAATAAATCTCAAGAAAAATATTTAGTGTGCCAAACACAATTTCTGCTCCACGAAGTATAAGTTTCTAGATTCTAAACAAAGAAGATATCGGACGTACCCGAGTATACAGCAGACGGAGGAGATTTAATATCATCAAATGAGTCGAGTAGTATGAAGTCGAGGACGACATCCCAAAAACCGCATTCTACCACCTGAATGGAAGTTAACAAGAAATGAAACTCTGCTAAACCTTGAATACATATATAAACATGATAATAACAAACCCCTCTATCAGCGAGCTCCTCAGCCATTTGAGAAATATTCGATTCAATGCGAAAGAAATCAATCAAGGCGTCGAAAGCGATATAAAACTGGGTGGGATCCTGAAAACATGTGAGCGATGGATTGAAACTTGTAGTCAAGCCTAAAAAAATCCTACCTGCTTTGAATGTCGCAAAATATCCCCCAATAATGTACGACCAGCTTTCGCCAACCATACCTGACGATGGTCGTCATTAAGACAGACCTAAATCGCTGAAGTTTGCTAGCGATGAGAGCAAAGTCAAACACTGGCACAAAGGACTAATTACTCGACAATGCTACACTGGAAAACACTGTTGAAAACTGCACAAACCGCAAAAGCTTGCCGTAAACACCAAAGCTTGGCGGCAAAATCCAGCTCACTGTCACACTGGCAAATATCACCGCGCATCTTTCGGTAATCTACCTAAATAAATACCCGATAAACGTATGCAAACCAAGGCAAACGGAAATATTAACTCAAACAAACCTCTCCGTTGTTCGCTGCTTTTAAGCCTTCTTTGTAGAACAACAGTTGGTCTTCGGGAACCGAAATATCACGTGATACGTCGTCATCAAGGGTAACAGCCTAAGTGACTGGTGGTCCACTTACTTTGGTAAAAAAAAAGAACTACTTACGAATTCTTCATAAGCAGACATGAAGGAATCGTCTGAGAGCACCGAAAGGGTTCCCGCTCGTGGAGCGCTATAGCCTTGCCATCCTTGAGCTACTACATTGCTAACTTGAAAAAAAAAGGTGAGAGATTGAGAAGAGACGTCAAAAGTGAACGCTTACAGTCATCTCTATATTCATCCAGTGCCCCATCTGCCACCAGACGGGAGATGTCAGCCTCTAGTCCGTGAAGGCGGTCAGCGATAGAAGTTAGCTCTTCGGTTTTGCTACCATCCTTTTCGCGGTAAAATTCAATAACATTGATTGCTCTTTCAAGTGCCCGAAGTAGTTCGTGGCTAGAGTCGGCTAGACCAAGTACAGTCATCTCGGAAATTCAACGCGAATTTGTAAAACATACAGCAAACCGGAGGAAATGCTTCCATGCTATTGCTGAAGTGGTTGCGTTGCCGAGAGTTTCCTTGGCGCCCGCTACCACGATCACTGAACGATGGAGTACACCGAAGCCGTGACGAAGCACGCACTAAAATAAATCGTGAAGAACACAATGCTACACACAATGTATCCCTAATCGACTAACCACTTTCCGGCCTCTCCACACGTGGAGGGACATCGCAAGAGCCATCCTGAACGCTCCCGTCATGAAACCGCGATGTCAGCTTAGGTCCGGTAATACGTCCGCGCTGAAACCACCTGGAAAATATCTTCTTATGAAAAGCGTCAGTGGATGTGATGTATCAACATATGTTCAGCTACCCATACTCGATCATGTGAGCATATCATCGGCTTCCAGATCTGTACGAAGACGGAGTAGTGGCAACTCAAGGCGTCGCGGTTTTTTGGTAGCGAGAGAGTACGAAAAGCAGTACTATAAGGTGAAGCTCAACACGTTTATCAAGTTTATCATAAAAACGCAATCTGCCTCTATACGGATCTAAGAGCCGATGATATTTCTACACTAATTTTGCTGTGACTCATTCTTTACGAACTTTACAATGCACTGCTTACTACTCCGACTTTCGTTGCGTACCAGCGGCGTTCGAGGCTCGTCTGAGCGGAACACGCAAAAGCCGCTGGTAGGGCAGTCGCACGCCGCTCGTACGCTGTGGAACTCCACTGGGAGGAGAATGGTACGCCGCTGGTACGCCAAGAGGGTACGCCTTCGGACCGCATGTTCACCGGATTTTTGATTAGTGTACTAATTGCAGCATTAGTTGGTTTGAAAACTGCTATATCGTCATATTCTATGAAGCCGAAATTAGCGCAAAATTTCCTGCTATTTCGATCGATGGACTTCATTGAATCGAAATCAAAGGATTATGGGCCACCCGTACAATACCCAGCTAAGATGTTATCAGGTCACTCAATGGGAACAACAACTCAATCTTATTCCTTTGTCAAGTACCGAGAAGTGTTAGCTAACCACTAGAATGCTGCGGCGGCCCAACCACTGCGTAGTATCCCATGCAGGTACGGCTTACGCTTACAGCGTGGGGTAATGTGATGGGACGCCGCTCGCCAAAAGACGGTACGCCGCTGGTAGGGCGCATTAGGGAACGCCGTTGGTACGCTAGCGCACGCCCCTGGTACGCAAAGCCATTTAGGTACGCCGCTGGTACGCAACGAAAGTCTGAGTAGAAGTCTAAGAAGGAAGAGCTGAACTACCTACGAAGAAGTATGCCGAATACGACAATCCCGAGACCGACACCAGAGATGATTATAGTAGTCGTTCGATTCGGTATTCGTAAATTGGCTCTCCAGATACTACCCTTGGAGGGTAACATTCGCTGAAACATCTTTCATGGCTATCCGAAAAGATATATCAGTCAGTGCATGAAGAGAGGCATTACTACTGAATGTCCAAGTAAGAGGAAGTGAATTCAAAAGGAAGCAACATACGAAGCATACAAGGCGCATATACAAACTCCTTAGCTCATCAGTTCTCATACAAACGATTAAGGTGAGTCGTTTGGTAAAGACTAATTTTTCTCTTGGTAAGCGTTATGTCTAGTATAATCTCAACAACCCTGAACTGCATGCTGTATAACAACTGCCAATAAGTGCTTGACTATTACAATTTTAGAAGTGTGTCTGATCGAAACACATTCTTAGCAAACAAACAGTAACTGATATTAAACGAATTGAAAATTGCAATTGCGCTCCGAGAAGTCCTAAGTACACATGCGCTCTGTGTTCAGCGAGAATGTCGCGGAATGTTGTTGTAGAAAAATCGACGCGATCTCCAACTTTAGTGAGAGGGAAGAGCGCACTTCAGCCGACGTTCCTTTGATTGATCGGAAGTGCGTTCCAGTCGATGAGATCGGTAAAGTGAGAAGTGAGGTGGGCTCCATTTTTGTCCTTTTTTCGCTTTTAGGGTGCACACTCTGGAGCGTTGAATTCCACCCTTCTCAAATCACATCGCTACCGTGAACAATTTCATATCTTCGGTTCTGTTTGAATATACGTCAAGATGCTCGCTCTTTCAAGTGCGATGACTGCTCTGTTTAACTGATTTGTCGAGATCGTTGACTCATGCCATCTCAAAAACACATTCCGTTTCGATATTATTAGCCAAGACTTTTTGTATCTTCTTCATATAATGTGGCCCTCTAGTATTGTACAAACTGTGAGTCATTCAACGTCATGCGATCTAGCGATCACCACGCAGTCCCATTCTGTGGAGCTCAATTTTATGAAATGCTGCCTTCTTTCCGATGTGATGCTGATGACATATCAATTCGCGTCCTGCAGCCCTCTATTTCTGATCCGCTCATTTCTGCGCTGACCTGGCCTATTGTTCTGCGAGATTGGCTTCAAAGAACGCCTATCTAGAGTTAGTTTACACTATTTCGGATCACGTAATTTGAATTATATGGGTCGTGTTTATGTTGTGGATAAGTATTATGGTGCCCATATCTTTTAAGACTTTTTCACATATCTGCGTAAACCCGAACTCCTCTTTCGATATAACTTTTCAACTACTATAATGCTTTATGACTAGATCCGAACAAAATTGCATCCCCGCCCTTCTGCGCTGCACTTACCGCTTACTCATACTTCATTTCTTGCATGTCCTCTCACCGAAACGCGATTAGCACGTTTCGCAATTGTTTTATTATATAGGTAATTTGTTTCTGCTTTTCCGAATCTGGAAAGGTGCTTTCATGAAGACTACGCCTTGACGTTATCAGGATGAAGGGGGTTTGTGGAATTTGTGAGGCGTTATTGTTGTTTTTTTACAAACTAATTTTTAAAAGGTTCAGTTTCTTTCCTGAACATGGTTGTTTACACGTTCTTCATTTATTTTGTTACTCCTCCATGAATCACATATCTTAGCTAAACTATCGTTCTCGCTCACTACATTCCAAGGACTTTTCACGTTCGTGTCATCTATTTCGCATTTATCGAAAAATATCGCAGTCAACGCAGCTCTGTGAAAATCGTCTTCGCGTGATTCCAACTTTCTTCGTTTTTTTTGCTGATCGTGACTGCGTTCTCTAACTTTTGAATGTGTTTTATGACATGTTAACATGCTCTAGGATGTCTAGCCCTTCGAGGCAGATAAAGTGTGTTGTTGTCGGAGATGGAACTGTTGGTAAAACCTGTATGCTTATTTCCTATACCACTGACTCATTTCCTGTACAGTATGTGCCTACAGTGTATGTTTGATACTCATCATCTCAAGTACCCTCACAGGATTTTTGTGAAATTTCAGCTTTGACAACTACTCAGCTCAAATGACACTGGATAATCATACTGTTAACCTCGGTTTGTGGGATACTGCTGGTCAGGTACGTCCATTTTCAGTGTTTTCTACTTGTTTGAAGCATTTATCGGGGATGCTCTGTTTTGTTTTATATATATTTTTATTTCACTATGCCCACCACTTTCAAATAAGTGCTGGTTCATTTACAAAGTTGTGTTTGTCATCTTTGTTTCGCTGTTCTTTGTGTCGTTTGTCCCGCACGCAAATGATTAACTCGAGGAAAAAAGTGGTATTTCTCTTTGGACTCTACAAATTTGAGCGGTCTTCAAAGTCTTGTCAAGCTAATGCAATTACAGAAACATCTGTTTGTTGGCGGAATGCGCTGTACTTGTTTTTGTGGTTTTTTTATGACTTCAGCTATTTTTTTTTTCAAGAAGACAGTATCTTGTCAGGTTGACGTTGAGTCGTATCCAAAGTTTTTTTACGGGAGTTTAAAATCATGTCCACGCAAGTTTGGGTGCCTTGGTTCCTTTGATAATGACCTATTAAGAGGACTTGTGATTCTCATGGCCGAAAACATCAGCTCTAAACTGTAGCCCGGACCTGGTATCTATCATACTAGACGCTTATCAGTCTGCTTGGAGAGATACGAGCTGAGCTAGAGTTTATCGAAGTTCTCGGCCATGAATGAATCATATAAGCTGTTTTTGGGCAGAGCTTAGCTTATCTTTCAACCAATTTTCATAGCAGATTTAGGTATCTGATTTGCATAGACATTGTTTTAACATTACCAGTCTTGAGAAGTTGGGTTTGAAAGAAAGAAGCTGGGATGCAAGTTTCACGTCAAAGTTGCTGACTCATCTTATCAGGGTGCCTTAGAAACAACAACATAAAATTGGATTCGGTCATACTAAGTATTGCGATGACATCATTGAATGAGTAAGCAGGTGCAGAAGGATTTGAGACAACCTGTGTTGACACTTTTGTATGAGTTGTATTGCTGATATATATCATATACTTGTCAGTTTTGCCTCTTCCGCTTATGTCGAAGCCTGTACAACCATCAGTGTAGTTATACTCTCCTACATTTTCCTTTAGTAATAGCCATCGATCGTCCCTAAATTTTAGTATAAACGTAAACTTCGAAATAGGGAGTTTGCTCTTGTGATCGAATATGGTAACTGAGAAATATTATCTTGTCAACGGCTCGTCCAAACATTTATCTAACTCCACAGCGAGCATAGCGCGGCCATGTTCGTGATGGTGATGTATTTGTTTCGTAAATAATTTCTCGTTTATGATTCTTCTTGTGGAGCATGATCGATCGCGTATCAGCTTACTGTCATTTGCGACTATTTGTTGAAATAATGGATAGGCTGCGGTTTTGTATTCTTTTACATCACCTGTGCCTTGCATATTTGCGTACCGAACGAATATTATGGGAATTCACTTTATAATTTTGAAGCTGTACAAGATTCTTTCGGAGATGAAGTTTTTTTCAGGAGGATTATGATCGATTAAGACCGCTGAGTTATCCCCAAACAGACGTTTTCGTTCTCTGCTTCAGCATTGTCTCCCCTGTTTCGTTTGACAACGTAGCGACCAAATGGATTCCAGAGATACGTCAACACTGCCCAGACGCGCCTATCCTTCTTGTTGGTAAGAGCAGTCTCTGACGTCTTTTGCTCTTCGAAAAATGTGCAGGGAGTTGCATTCGAAAAAAATTGACGTTATTTTGACAGTCGGTTACATTATACAGTGTACTGCTGTCAGAGAACTCTATGAATACCTTTATCATGCGCATCATTAAGCATTTCATAGTCAACATAGAATGTTTTTTCTACTATTTTTTTGTTATTATGACTAGCGATTATGCACATTTATTCATGGTACTTTTTGATTTAATGCGATCGGCAGCTAGAAGGCGACCGCTTGCACCCGCGACGCAGTCTGCGTCTCTCTCGCGAGCGTGCTCTTTGATCATTCCCTAGCCTTGCCTAGGCCAGAAGCCCCGTATATATTTCTGAAGAGATTTGAACCGAACTGTGTTTGTGCCTGTGCATATCTCTTTCAAATTTCATATAAGCTTGTTAAGGTACAAAGTTGGACCTACGAGATGAGGCAAATCCTAAATCCACTGGCTCTGAGGATAGGCCACCTATAACGAAAAGCCAGGGACAGAAATGTGCACAGAAAATAAAGGCCGTGAAGTACTTAGAATGTTCAGCTCTCACACAACAGGGCCTCAAACAAGTACGCATTAGTTCCTTCTTTTCTTGTGCACAATGAGTAAAACAATTTCTTTTTCAACCAAGGTGTTCGAGGACGCCGTTCGAGCTGTTATAAATCCGAAGCCACTCAAGCAGAAGAAATCATGCACATTGCTCTAATCCAACTCTTTAAAAGTGCACTGAAACCGGTTTATGTACGAATTTTTGAAACTACACAGTCATGTTGTCTGGAGTCAATTGTGTTTGGTGTAGGGTGTTTAGGATGATGGGTGATGCTCGGCGGACCAAACACTGCGCGAACTAGTCCCTTGACCTAAACTGCAACTTTGCTACGATTTAAATTCATCTTCTCCTTGAATCACAGCATTTCAAATTTTAGTTTGACCGACTTTATCATCGATTTCATTACTGTATACTTTGTAATTATATATGTAAATGTTTGTTAATGTCTTTTTTTTACCGTTGTTTCACTCATCTGTGTTATCCATCGATAATGTAACGTCATAATATACTGATTGCCAGTAGAGAATGGCCTACTGTGTTGTTATGTGCCATGAGAGGCAAAGATTCTGATCTAAATGATGTTTATTCTCCCACACTTCTCGTCAAACGTTCATGTTCGCGTCGTCCCTCCACCATATGTGAAAGCCTTTCACTCACTTTCTACGCCTTGATGTTGCTCTTTAATTCATTACAGTGCTAAAATTGTTAGAGTTCTCAAATGCAAAGTAGGAACAAATTGCTGTTTCACTCAGCGTTCAGGAAGCATGGAAATGAACTGTTCAAAGTTTTGTTTTTTTTTTGTTCTGCTATTTTATGCAAAAAAGACATATCATTGACGAAAAATTACATTCTACTATGTGCGACTTTGGCCAGTTTCCTCCTTCCACTCCTCTTGCAACTGGATTATTATACAAATCGCACAATGAATCAACTTTAATAAACAAAGGCAAAACCCGCAATGGTGGTAGCTAACACCCAGATGTAAATCCTATTGATACAAACCTGAATAATGTGAATATACAAATCATCTATACATCAACGATGTGTACAAATCATACAGGGCAGTCCTAGATGTATGAAAGATACTCAACCTCATAATGGTGGCTGACAGCCCATAAGATGAAATTTTTCAAGGACTAGAAAATTTGTTTACCAACCATATATGATATGAGTAAGTTCTTCAACCTTAATGGTAAATATGAGGTGTGGATGGCAGTCCTAGACACATCAGGTCATCGGACGAAGTAGAAGTATAGAAACAATACCTAGAATATACGCAGCAACAAGCTTTTGTGGCACAGTGAGATGAAAGTGATGTGGTAGAAGTGAGTCAGCAGCAGCTGGATCTCCTTGAGTTGGAGCCATCAAGGCAACTGCACAGATGACGGCTACTCCAAGGCAAGCGAGTTGGGAGGAGGCCGCGTTCTACAAAATTTCTTCTATAGTAGTGAGGCCTACATGCAACTATCATTCATCATAGATAGTATTCAAAAAAAACAACAACAGACAGACAGGTCTACCAGTTCATGTTTCGCAACATAAACCATAGGAATGCTTATCTAGCAGGCGGGCAAAGAGAATGATCCTCCGAAAATGGACAGATTTTTCCATATTTAAACACGCAAAATTTCAACTTTTTTATATTTTGTATGTAGAGGCCATCTCAGCCTGTCTGTCCCTTGCACAAGACGCTCGGGTTCGTGCAGTCTCTCGCTTGAGCCTTGCGCCCAGTTTGAGGACTTATCGCCGAGGCATTTTGCCAACCCTCAGCTGATGGAAACCGAAAACCCGCGCATGTGCGGTATCTGAACTGAGCCAGCTATATTTTCCAATAGCTCAGCAAAAGATTTCTTCATTTTTACAGACTTTTACTGCACTGGACTCAAGGCCTCGGAGATTTCAGACATGAAGTGACAGTTATGTGTCCTCGATAAAGCGTGGAAGAATGCGTTCATAAGCGAAGAATGGAGGTCGTTGCAGGACTTACGTCGTTACGTGTCCGGGAAGATGCGCGATGTGAAGATCCAAAATCTCCTCTCGGTTCACGTCCGCTCGTCGTGCTCATTGGGTCTGATGGAGCCGGGCTGCACACATTGACTGTCCGCAGTAGTAAATCCCGGAATCCCAAAACCTTAAAAAACTGAATGAGACCATTTTATGCCTACATATACTGCAAAGGGGGGGGGCGCTCGTTACGTGCGGTCTGCCAAATGGAAAACGCCGCAATGCGGCGTTAAAGTAACGGCGCGCGGGAAGCAGCAGTGCAGAAAACTTGTGAGATTTATACCACTAGACTACCAGTGCTTCTTCTATATTGTTAGTTATTTAGCTTCTTCAATTTGTGTCTTTTTTATCCTTTAAAAAGCTCATTTTACAACTTTTACGGCAAAACTTTATATAACTAAGCAGAACTAATATGAGAATAGTCTGTGAACCTCAACAAAAGTATAAGAAACTGAAAAACTATGTGCTGCGGATCATGCTGGCTGAATTACCTGTGTCTGATTACTGGCAGCCGATCGCGCGCAACGTTTTCCATTTAGAAGCCCGCACGTAACGATACGCCCCCACTGCAAAGTACAGTCGAGTACATTTTCCGCTTAATTCAATGTGCTTGTGGCGAGAGAGTGTGGTGAATTCGCGCGCGAACAAATATAGGCTGCTGCATGACGAAGGCGCAATATCTTTGGGAGCGAACGCGGTTTTATTAGCCGCAGAGCGCATGAGGCGCAGGATTTACAACGGTGAGGATACGCGCGCGCCACGTTCGCGCCCGCTTAACTGATACTGCTTCTACGTCTTCGTCATGCATACCCTTTAGCTACGCCTGTCATGCCGATCACCATTACCTCATGGTCAGCTCACGCGCAGATTCTCCCGCATTTTCTCGGCACCGCAAGAAACTATATCAAAGGCAGTGTCCAGGCAAGTCTGGACACATGGGGATCTCACGTGAATAGTAATTTTGGGCCCTAACTAAGCCACTGCCCTACCGACAGCTCAGGTAGTGCTCTAACGGTTGAGATATTCCCCTCGAAACTGGACCCCGCGATCGTATTTCGCATGGAATCATGGCGCAAAGCGTGTGTCCTAGGGCGAAACTGCCATGAATCCATGCGAATACGATCGCGGGGTCCAGTTTCGAGGGGGATATCTCAGCCGTTAAAGCACCACCTGCGCTGCCGCTTGAGCAGTGCCTTAGTTAGGGCCCCAAAAGTACTTTCCACGTAAAATCCCCATAGGTCCAGATCTGCCTGGACGCTGCCTTTAAGCGGAAGATGTACCCGACTGTAAGTGATGTCTAAGGTTGAATCAATGCGATATTCGTTGGTACCACTTTATATGAATAAACAGGGCCAACCTCTGTTTCACCGTCCCTCCTGATTTCCACCCGGAGACAGTCAGTCGTGCCTACGCTAAGTCTTGTAGTGCATTTAACAACTCTGAACAAAGTATATGCTGATGACAATACATACTCATTCCATATCAGATAACGACACTCACAAGTCTTTGCAGCAGTTCGCGTCAAGTATTCCTTTGGGATTAGATACAGAATAGTTTCCGGGAGCATTGCAAAGCACTGAAACAAAGAAACGACATGTCAGAAAAACAATATGCTTTCGAGCAAGCCGATAAATTTCGCGGATATATGAAAATTTGGCGCTTGGGCTACAGTGTAGTTTTAGGCGGAAAAGTAAAAGTTTAGTTGGAGGACTCCTGTGTTCAAAATAGAAACTACAGAGCTCTAAACAGATGACTTGCACCGTCATGTCCAAGACACTACCTTTACGGTACTTTGGCACGATTATGTTTTAATTATTAGGAAGTGCTGACATTATCGGCATATGCACCACATAAGCAAGCAAGTGGAAGAAGGAGCCCCTCAACAGCTAGACATCTGATCTTAAAGAAAACACACACACTCAACAGTGTAAAGGGTAGCTACTCGCGATCTTCGTTTAACCCTCTAAAGTTGATATCTGGTCAAGCATGGGTCGACGATCTTAACCATACAGCACCATGTCGCGACTTACAGAAAGCAAGAAAAAATATTGCAGTAGTTGAAATCGGCGTCTGTGGGGATGGCCGCCAGCTCAACGCACCGGGGGGGGGGGGGGGGGGGAATTATGTACAAAGCTAGACAACGTCACTCCATAACTCACTCGAACTATTCTGTGAAGGTTGAGAAAACGAGTGATATCAAAAATCCACAAGGAGTTCACACTGTAATTTAGCGCGGAACAATGAAAACTCAAGCTTCCCCGGAACGATACAATGCTGTTCCCATCGGGTGATGCACATCACTACCACTATTATTAATTCAAGAAAACACGAAAAAATCTACATTTTCTTTAGTGTCCAGTTTGTTGGAAGAATTTACCGCTCCACCATTATTTCGCAAAAAGCCTAACAACTGGTGCAAAGCTAATGAATAGATGCTGAGCTGTCTCTCGGTATCTCTTATTAGCTTGAAGCAGCATACTGTAATCCGGTTTTTGCGAACGATTGAAGAGAATGACTTCTATACCCCTGTGTATTATGAGTTCGGTGACTGTGAGACTGTACGGAAATTTTTTTGAAACAATTAGAAACTAGCATTTATGGTGAGGAAAAAGCTCTTGATTTTGATAGCAATTAGAGTTTACTGGACTGTTTACAAGCATGATATAATGAGTCGAAATTACTTCAGAACAAAACACGACTCTTTCAAGACGTTTCGGGGATAAAATCAACTTGTCAGCTTCTTTGCACACCTCTTTTACGCTTCTCTTCAGAAAATGGAAATTGTATAAAAAAATCAAGAAAAAAGCGACACAGAGGAAAAGAAAAACAAATAATGAGATATACAAAGAAAATGGTCGTACCTTTGTACTGAATCGAATAACCGTAAGGATTGTAGACGGTAATAACACGTCGTGGTGAACGCTCGGTGACTGGAAATTCTATTTCGCTTACAGATAGAAATACTGGTAATCTATTGGAGTCACCATCATCCATCCCTCTCCTCTCTGAAAAAAAAAGAAACATTTCACGCGAAAACAAAATGGCGAAGGTATGATCCCGTGCAAAACTAGTTGAGATATGATTGAAAACTATGATTAAGCAGAAGTAAAGCCAGCAGCGTGTAAAGCGAGGGCGCAACACAGAATGACGTCATGACGCGTGATGAGAGCGAGTTCCGCGAAGAACATATGATCCGATAGAGTCGCGTTGAAGACCAGAATTTCTCTGTACTAGATGTCCTTGCCTTGGGAACGACATAATCTCGAATTCGCAAACCAACTCCAAATATGGATATGGATGGACTCATCTCTTGTCCCATCGCTCTCAATGCTTTGACTGATGGATTAGTGTGTAGGTAATCGATAATATAGACAAGTACGCAAGCAAACAATGCGTGGCGTCTAGGTAGAAGCTTAACTAGGATCAGTACAGGTTCGCGAAATGATGGCCTTGAATTGACCAAACAGGCGCTGTTCAACTGAGAGATTCCTCCCAATCAACGTTTATTGGTAGCGTTGTCGTGCGAAGCGTCAAATATGCTGCATATGCAGAAATGACGAAAAGAGAGTAAACAACTCTCGAACAGCACGACCAACAATATGGACACATTAAAAAAGCACACAAAGCAAGTCAGTCAGCTCAACATTCCAGACGTATTCTAGTCTCTTCAAAACAGTCATTCCCTGTTTACGTCAGGATAAATTTAATTATAAGGTGAATTACAAGTGCAATCGAAAGTGATAACCAGATCTTCTCTTGCGATGGTATTTATACATCTAGGGACTTTTTGAAATGTGACTAAATGACTCGTTTCATATTTGACTGACTCAGCATCGTAATCAAAACTAAGAAAAAATAGGAATACGTGGAGTTAAAGGGCAGCCAAAGCATATATAAGATCATAGGGCAGACATTTGCGTGTGAAACGATCCCAGACTCGATTAGACTTCCACAACTAAGAGGTGGCAAACGCAAAGGGAACGTTTTGCTTGACCATGATTTGAAGTATCTGACTTTAATGCAATGATGCTCAGCAAGAGAAAAGAGAGGAAGGTTATTGGAGAAAAAGTTGATTGTAATAGTGGGAGATAGTTCTGGATTTAATTGCATTTCATCGATCAGCGAGATTCTAAATAATGTGGTCATGTTGAAGCAGACAGTGAAGCGAATCGTCTGAAGCCACGACAGAGGAACAGGTTAACTTGGGACTTGGTCAAGCATACCTTGAAGTGATTTGGCGAAAATGGAAGATTTGATAAAAACGCTGAAATTTCAAAAAAGAAACCTTCCTGATTATGAAAATTCGATCATCGTCTAGAGATTGAATACAGCTAATTCTTCGAAATAACACAGATAACTTCCAAAGTATATCTTACGGACGAGTGTAATAAGTGAGTGAGAATGCCAACAAACAAGAATTATGCGAACACCCTTTGCTAAATCCTTCAATCATGGTTGTATGAATGACAAGCTTACTAGAAGAAGCATGAAAGCAAGCTCAGAAGTTGTTAGAAATGTCAGATAAGGGGTTGGTCGGTACTAGATATAGTCATTAGGAAGAATACTGGATAAACTTCTGAGATTAGGGTCAGGAATACTTGGTTTAAAAACAAATTTATGATAATTAACAAATAAATTCAACTTGCATCCATCTCACTCCCTTACAAATACTGGATCAAAAAACCTTGTACTGTTAGTGGTCGTCGTCTTCTCCAGCCGCAAGAAGCACTTTTTTTTCTGAAAGTGTGAAAGTTTCGTGCCCCACATCCCTGTTGATTCTTAAGGGACCGGCCATACTATTCCAGGAGGTGATTCCTGCCACTTCAGTAGTTCCTGCAAATCTTGTGATTCCACGAGTTCCGATGTGCCGATCTACGGAGCGCTTTGCAATCAGTAAACATTGTTTTTTAGCAACACATTGTTACTGGATCCGCAGCAATCACATGAATCGCAGGAATAATGGTATGGCCGGTCCCCAAGCTTTTGTAATACTGAAAATTTTGGTCCTTTGCCAATCAGCGCTGTTTTAGAACCACTGCGGTCCTTGAGCGATGCAGGGAAGCGGGGGAATTTGAAGGACAATTTCTCTTACTACGGAATGGCATGGATATTGATCATCACGTTGTCACATAGAATGTTGGTTTCAAAGCATGCAAATCAGGAGACGTGGAACCAGTTTATGGAACGAATCTCAGCTTTGACTTTGTTCTTGCAGCGTAGTCTTTTGCGCTTGCTTTTGTTGACTTCCTATTCAACTTTTTTCAGGGTAAACCTAGTACGCGACAAGCTGTTCATTTATGAATGTGCGGGATCTGCAGAAAACATTGGAAAATCAACACGAACAGCTGAAACTTTATGAGAAGAAGCTCAAAGGTTCCTAGGCAAACTTTTTTAGCTGCTTTTGTACGCCATTTGATTATTTTAGTGTATTTAAGATGTTGTGAGAGCTTACAAAAGCCTGGATGCTGAAAAGAGCGCCCTTCAGAAAGCACTAGATTCGCTTTCCAGTCAAGGAAATGATGAAGAAGGATCTTCTACGTCTTCCAAAGAGGTTGTTTGTTTTGAAAAAATGTGACTTTTATCACTGTGGTAATCTCGGATTACAGGATACTGTGAAAGAATTGAAAGTTGCAATTGCGACGCTTACAAGGGAGAATACTAAAAAAGAAGCTGCTTTCCAGAATGATAAGAAGATCCTAATAGCAAGTATTTTTGGCTTTATCAATAGTAGTAAATCATGTTTTTTGTTGAGTTTTCAGAATGAAAATGCTACTCTCAAAGAGCAGTTAAGGAAACATACAGAACTGAATTCTAATAACGAGAAGATGATCAAAGTAATTTTGCACTTTTTCTAACAGACCAGTTATCGCAATTTTTCTTTATTCTGAAGAGTCTGCAGTCAAAGCTCCAGCAAATGGAAGCAGACCGCGAACGTGAACTTACCGACCATGGGAAAGTGTTGGCGGAGATGCAGTCGAGGTTTGCCAAGGAACATCAGTCATTCGAAGCTGGTGCTAGAGAGGTACTTTGTTATCTCAACCTTGTGAGAATTGAGACTTTTAATATCAATACGTTTGAATAACTATGGAAAAAACTGTTTTAAACATAAGGGATATGAAAGATAGTCTATATGATTTCTACGCGCAGTCAAAGTGTTGTAAAAGAGTTTTTGAGCGTGAATATGGTCGCCTCCTTAGAACCTTCATTTTCACGATCACATACTATCGCGAAGAGCATGTCAATGAATACACAGTTGCCATGTTTCTGCAAAAATTGGTTGATTACTCGGGTTAGGTACATACTATTTAAAGCAGCAAAGTGAAAACCGCATGCTTTTTTTGCCAACTGGGAGTAACTTACAGTCCGTAAACTACATACATTTAGAGTGCAGCTCTTTCCAAGAAAATTAACCAAAAAGAGGATGCTCTTAATCAGATGAAGGCACGTGAGGCCGAGCTTGTTCGCCAGGTTTCACTATTGAGCAAAGAAGTCAAAGAACTCACGGAGAAGGCTTATCAAGTTCCTTCTATACAAATCTTGAAGGACGAACTGACAAATCTTAAGGCTAGTTCTTTGCACCACATTTTTTCTATTGTTTTTATTTGTTTGTTTATTTTGTTTTTATTCTCGTTTTGTTAGGTCGATCATGCCAGAGAACTGCAAGATGCCGTGACTAAGACAAAACACTCTACTCAACTTGAAGAGCAAGAAAGAGCTTCTACAAAAATCGCCGAACTCGAAGAAAGAACTATGAACCTTTTGGAAACAGTTGCGAGAAGTGAGGAAGCCCGAAGTGAAGCCCATGAAGCCTTATTAAAAGCTGAGGCAGAAAGATCTGCTCTCCTAGAGGTGAGAATTTGCTGAAGCTTATGGTTGACCCTCGCTTGCGCGAAAGTCACGGTGAGAGGAGCCGAAGCTAGCGAAAACCCTCCAATGGATGGATTCTTCCATTAGGGAAGTGCCGTTCCTCTTGCCGCTCGGACTTATACGCATGCGGCCCAAACAGATGCAGTTCTCAGATTCTGCATTGTTCGCGTCTGTAACTCGATACGTTGATATACGTTGAGACATAGAAACCACTTTAATAGGAGCTGACGGAACTGCGCCAACTTCGAGCGAACGAGGATAGAGATCCTGATGGTGAAATTGCCAGCGATGTCATCACTACTCTGAAAACAGCTATTGCAAAAATCCTCGCAAAGAATCCAGATTTCGATTTTTACGGTTGGTTACATAGTGACGAATATCTTGCAAAAGATGTCGAAGCTTTTTTAGCTCTTCTTGGAGGAGATCCAGAGAAAAAGAAACTCCAGCATGAACTCCGGGCATTGCGGGATGAATATAATCAATGCAAATCTCGCTTGGAATCGTTAATGAACATCAGTACCGTAAGTCAACTGAAACTGTGGCTGCTTACTTCCCTATTCCAATCCTTTTCAGGAAAGAAGTGATGATGGCAGTAGTTCTAAGGATGAGAATATTCGTCTTGTAGTAGAGCAGTTTCAGAACAAAATCAAAAAAATGATGGCTGTTCACGCTAAGGATCGCGCTGCATACGAGAAGGCAAGTTATTTTTTTACAGTATGTGTTTAGTAGAAAGTTCCTGCTAGTGTTCAAGCATATTGGGTTTTATATCTTGCTTTATTGTTATACTATCTCATTTCCTGTATCTGCTTGCATATGCAAAATTCATCCTAGTCCCACTTAAAATGAGTTGCTTATCAAATCGTCCCGGCTTAAATTTTAGTCGGCATGTGATTTGAATGCGAGAATCTCGGAGCTGGAGCAGCGAGAGGGTCGATTGGTAACGGAAATGAGAAGAGAAATGAACAGTAGAAGTTGGTCGTTCTGCAACTGCTTTTTTCAATGGCACGTTCTCAATTTGAAGTTTAAGTTTCTGAAATGGAAGCGGAGATGCAGAAACAACGAAGTCGTACCATAGATGTGGTAGCTGAGAAAGAAAAGGAGCTAGAAGCTGCTAGGTTGGCTTTTCATTTGAAAGAGACCATAAGTTTCTAGTGTTGTAGTCAACTAGACCATATGAGTGCTGATTGACAGGACGATTCTCGTCTCTTTGCGAACTGAGCAAATGGCTCCTGCTGATCCATCTCAAGCGGGTAAAATCACGTTGTCTAAGAGGAGATCTAGCGAGTACAAACGTTATGGTGACAGAAGATATAGCACGGGTCCGGAGTAATTTCTTTCTTACAATATCTCCGAGTAGAATGCAACTTTTTTCAGGATCTAGGAAGAGTGCGGATGGTGTGTCTGTGAACAGTATGGAAGCAACAGTTGGTATGCAGCATTCATCAATTTGTAATCTTCTCAGTGATTTATACTTAGATGGAAGTTCGATACCTATCCCCATGGCCAATGAATCAAGAAATATTTTTTATGAAGAGGAGTTGCTCAAAAAGGAGCGCGAGATTCAAGAGATGAGGTCTGTTGTTGAATTCTTACTGTACTGTACCAAGGGTGGCATTGCAATTTTCACGTCGTTCAGAAACGTTTCGCATCATCTCGACTATCGACTACGCGAGGTTGAGCAAGCTGCACTGGTCAAAGAACTTGAGCATCATAAGAAAACCGAAGCAATGGGTGAAGAGATCACGAAGTTGCAAAGTTAGTTTGTATGAATACATCTTTTTTTCAAGCAAGACCCCGCGGCTTTGGGGGCCGCCCTGTTGATGTCAAAGTTGAGACTCACCCAACATATCTGCAATATTGTGCAACTTGTTTTCCCGTTTTTCTTACTCAGAACTCTGACTGCATTTAGATAAACTCGCTCTTCTATCAACTGGCGGTGAGATGGAGTACTTGCGCAACATCTTCATTCAGTTTATACAGTCGAACAACTCTTCTGCAAAGAAAAATATCCTCAAAGCAATGGGCATGGCACTCAAATTGAGCGCCAATGAGATGAAGTCATTAGAAAATAGATAACTGTTTGTATAATATTTTATCAATATATATTGGATAGCTCGTGTGCTCATAAATTGGCAGCATATTATATAACAATTGATGACGGTTTATGCTGTTTTACAAATCGTTTGCTACGGGGCGTATAACTTAAATCACTTATAATTGCTGGTATGAATAAAATTCATGTTTATGTGTTTTGTTTGAGACTGAGTGTTACTCTCGAATTTCCAGATTTTTTGTGAAGTTGTTGGTTTATAGTTAAGGCGAAAATTTAGCGTGTGAGCGCTCAATTCTTCTTTGTCACCATTGCGACGCACAATGTTTTCGAGACCGAGACCACGTCTGTGGAGGAGTATATCACCGTCGACCACGTTAACGGGAGTTTCTTCATATTCTCAGAAGATGGTATGTCTTGCAGTGCTAAATATTTACTGAGAGCTATACTCAAAGGCAGTAGATCGGCAGAATAAGACCCGTGACAAAACAAGGTCACAGGGTAGGAGCCCCCATATGGAACCTATCGGTCAAAGCCCGATCTTTCTCTGCCACTCCTACCCCCGAAAATTCAAAGCGAAAGCAGCGCTCATCTCCTCTCCTCTCCGAACCCGCCCACCCCATGGACGAGTGAACGCGAAGAACGCCATGGCGAAGACGCAGAGTCGTTGCTGGACCCTCATGCTTATAGCATTGCGGCTGCGCGCTCTAACCGTGGAAGTCACTCGTCCATGGGGTGGGCGGGTTCGGAGAGGACAGGAGATGGGCGCTGCTTTCGCTTTGAAATTTCGGGGGTTAGAAGTGGCAGAGAAAGATCGAACTTTGGCCCATAGGTTCCATTATGGGGGCTCCTACCCTGTGACCTTGTTTTGTCACGGGTCTCATTCTGCCGATCCATTGCCTTTAAAGGCAGCGTGCAGGCAAATCTCTGGACCTATAGGGATTTTACGTGGGAAGTAATTTTGGGGCCCTAACTAAGGCACTGCCCAAGCAGCAGCGCAGGTAACTCACTAATGACTGAGCTATGCGCCCCCAAGCTGGACTCCAGGATCGCATTTCGCATGGATATTGCGCAACCCATCAGTTTCGCGCAAGAACCCGCGCGCAACTACCGGGTTGCGCCAAGAATCCATGCGAAATACGATCCTGGGGTCCACTTTCGAGGGGAATATCAACCGTTAGAGCATTACCTGAGCTACCGGCTGGCAGTATGGCTTAATGAGGGTCCCAAGATTACTATCCACATGAGATTTGTCCAGATTTGCCTGGACGCTGCCTTTAAGGGAAACGGTCCTGTACTTCCCTTGTACTCTAACATCTGGGGGGGGGGGGGGGGCTAAGGTTTAACAGTGTTCTTTTTACCGATGTAACCTGTGCCTGAGCTTTCTGAAGACCTCTGAAGGTCCTGACCCGAGATTAGCTCAATTTTGTATTGAGACGCACTTCGACTGCGGAACGAAATGCGTATGGTTGTCACATCTGCTATGAAATCTGACGAGGCACCATATTTCATTACGCCCGAGGAGGTTTCGCTTCTAGTCCAATACGGTAATTTCTGGAAATTTCTTTCTTTCTGAACCTTTCATTGAGAAGATATTTTCAAGGTCATGCACGAGTTCGCGAAGCTCTGCCAATATCCGACTGCCTGAGTACGAAACCAGCTGCCTGTACAACAGATCACTCTGAGCCTACCATCATCAGTGAAGTAAGATCTTTTAGTTTTGATGCGCTGAGTTAACATTCTTTTGAGGAGCAAGAGAAACGCGCACGCTTGATAGCTTTGGGAAGAAAGGCGAAGATTTTGAAAAGGAGTAAAATGGGAAATGATGCTACTGCTAAAGAACTGAGGGTTGCCAAGTTGTTGCTAGCATAATGGTTTTTCATAGTTTGTGATTAGGTTACAAAGAAGGACGTGATGGAGATCGACGTCTCTTCAGACGAAGTATTGGAAGTAATAATGGAGCTTAAGCGAAGTGAAAAGAATATGAAGGAGAAGAAACTCATTGATTTCCCAAAACGTTAGCACTTTCATGATTCAAGATTTTTTTGTCGCGAATCCGCCTGAAGCCCAAACCCGCCTGAACCGCAAGGCGCCGGAACCTGCCAAATGAGAGAAGCAACGGAGATATGCCTCGAAATTGGTATGTTGGAGCACGCGTGAAATGCCGCGCGCGGTGTATACATACTAGTCAAATGTGCCTCGACAAAACATAATTTCATCTGCTCCGCTCATTTCGCAGATTCTGGCGCGTTGCGGTTCAGGCGGGTTCGGACGGGTTCCGGCGCAGTCTGAACGATGCCTTATCGATGCTTTTAGTGGAGTCTGATGCAAAGATGTTTCGGTGGCTGGACCAATATGACATACCACTTCCATGTACCAGACAGTTTCGAGCTCGAGAACTGGTCTACCACGACCTCTGGAGGAAAGGATACTATCTCACATGTGGAGATCAGTTCGGCTCCGCTTGGTTGGTTTACGAAGGTATGGTTTCGTCAAGATCGTGTTGATATATACAAGTCTTCCCTTAGGACTTCCCGGCAATGTCCACGCAAAGTTTTTATGTGATTTTATCCTCGATGACGAGATGTTATCACCTCTCAAATTGATTTCTCTTGTACGGGTTGCAACACAGGTGGGTACATTTCTCAACACGGTAGTGAAATCGCCAATGTTGTTGCAGGTAAAGAAAACTTTGTTGATCGCTATAGTTCCTTCCGACAGCAATCTGCCACATTACATCACATTCGAATGGTTTAAACCTTACACCAGAGATGTTGAATAACTACTAGAATACCGTTATTGCTGAGCATTGTTCTTGACCATTTCCTAACATAATAAAATTATTCAGCAGCATACATCAATGTCATTGCTTTCATAGAGAATTACTGAACTGCGCATGCTAAGGACAATTGCTTATCAGTAACAAATGTGTAAGGTTTACCTACTGACGGACGAAGCCGGACAGACCGAAGAAGCCAAATGAGCGCAATGCGATTATACTAACCCGTTGTCTGTAGGACGCATGAGGCGAAGGGACGCAACAGTGGCAGTTGCCTGCGTCACTTTCATGACCATTCAGCTTGGTTGGTCCGCCTTCATCCAACAGTAGGGTTCACACGGTCAAATAACACACCTACTGCATGACTTTATCTTACGCGAATAAACACACTCTCCTAGACTGGCAGACACCTGTCAAACTGAATCTTTCTTTCTGAGAAGACAGAGAGGATGTTGTGGATATATTTTGTATGTTTATGGGGCTTCGCTATGTGAAGTCGTTTCAGTTGTCGTCGCTTATGCAGCATGTCGGCTCATGAATTCAGTTTTCTTAAACACATTTGCAAATCGGCTCCAATAGTAGAACGGAAAACTACTGGGATAAAGTCTATTCAAGTTGTACAAGGCTTTATGACGTTTGAATTACGCAATGGGCTCAACTTAATCCGCCAGCAGTCACAGCTGGCAAGGGGGTAACCAAGGGGGCAAGGTCTCGCGCCACGTGTGGGCGTACTGATCTGGTACGATTTGACATCTGAAGACATGGCGCGAGACCTGGCAGAGCTGACGAGCGAATTTACGGTAGAAAAAAACCGATACGGACAGGCCTTGTGAAACCTGACTGCCCGCGCCTGCGTTGAACACCAGCGTAAGCGAGCGGCTGTCGCGAGGCACTATACGCGGTGCCATTCGCTCATGATGCGCGGCGCGTTCGAGTCCGCTTGAGTGAAGGTGATCTTGCGCCTCCGTCGGGCGGTGGACTTTGCTTGACAGTGCTTTTTACATAAAGGCAGTGTCCAAGCAAAAAGTCGATTTTGAGATTTTGTGCTTACCCGGGCCTATTCGCCATGCTGAATCTGATAAACCACAATGGAGAGCGCGAAAACGTCAAAAAAGGCCCTAACGCAGGAGGGAAATCGCAGGTGGGAGGGGCCGTTCACACCGTGACGTCACCCTCCCAGACTTTAGGAGCGATCTTTTCTGTTCCAATTTTGTATCATGCGTTTCGCAGTTGGCTGGTGGTGATGTTAGGGCGACTGCGGAAGCGAGAAGATCGCTCCTGAAGCTGGGAGAGTGACGCCACTATTGTGAACAGCCCCGCCCACCTGGAATTTCCCTCCTTCGTTAAAGCCTTTTTTCGCCGTTCGCCCTCTCCAGTGTTGATTTTCGGATTCAGCATAGCGAATAGGTCAAGGCAAGCACAAAATCTCAAATCGCCTTTTTGCTTGGACACTGCCTATAAGCACACAAACATCTCCAAAATTGATGTAAGCAGTTCTTTCCAGGATTGATGTAAACAGAATATAAACGCTTAAATTTTTAAAATTAGATAGTTCCTGTAGATTAAGAAGCAGCGCAAAAGGAATGAATTGCGCGCGTGTCAAATGATCTTGAAGATGGCCAGTAGAGCAACATATATACACACGATATTGCAATCATCAAGTGTTATTAGAATGATATTACAGCACATCCTTTTCTTCTTATTCTTACGCAGCAAAACATGATCATAAAAATAGTGTATCAAAGTTGACCTTGTCGATTTCGCGCTCTGTTCATGTTGTGCACGCGCGAAAGTTTTGAACCAACACCTTTCCAACGAGAAATCTTCGTGTTCCTCTTCGCTGTTCGCTTTGAAGGCAGCGTCCAGGCAAATCTGGTCACTGACTTCTGAGATTTACGCCTCCAAACTGGACCTTAGGATCGTATGTCGCATGGATTCATGGCGCGGCTCATCAATTTCGCGCGAGGACCCACGGAAATTGGTGGTTGCGCCATGAATCCATGCGAAATGCGATCCTGGGGTCCACTTTCGAAGGGAATATCTCAGCCTTTAGAGCACTACTTGAACTGCCAGTTGGGCACTGGCTTAGTCAGGGCCCCAGAATCACTATCCATGTGTACCCCATATGTCCGGATTTGCCGCCGCCTTTGAGGCTTGAGAAATACCGGTCGCTATAACTGACGATAAGACGCTGCCAGCAGCAACGCCTTTTGTGCGTATCGACTGACGCCAGGCGACGCTGCTGCTCTAGCTGCTGCAGGCAACCCGAAACAGACCCACTATAGCCAGCGATGCTGCGCTGCTCTACGCTGCTGCTTGCGCTCATAGCTGCTCCTCGCTGCTATGCGATATGAAGCTCACTTTTGGTGAGCTCCTCGCAGCTGCTTTATGCTACTAACGCTCATTTTGCTTGGATTTGTTCCTTTACTTCTGAAGATTTCTAGAGCACTTGTTGCGATACTGAACTATGACAAATTTGCAAGACCAAAACGCAATACGTCGATAAGAAAATCATTAAAGAATTGACAAAGTCGACAAAGAATTGAATATGAACAACTGCACAGAACTTTTGTGAAGCAAAAATAAAATCAAATTGCAGTAACGATGAAAAACTGGAGGATTTTGACGATTTAGTGTTCGGCAGTTCTCAAGACTTACTTTCCTAAGGGCATAAGCTAAGCGTAGTAATGGGTAAAGCTGCTTCGTTCTTGCATCCAAAGCGTACTCAGAGCAGCAGCCACGAGCAGCTAAAGGCAGCGCAGACATCAGCGATTCGCCAACACCCGCTACACCTTTTTCGTCAGGTATATCTCAAACTTATAGCTACGAGTCACGTACCTGCAGAGCCGTGCCGGCACAGCGCTGCCGGAGCTTTCGATGAAGATTTTGATCAGTACCTGGCTGGGAGCAAGGCCCGCTATCGGCTATCCGCTATCGCTATAGGCCCGCCCCCCCCCCCCTCCCAACAACAAAACGGCCTTGCTCGAGACAGCGTCAGCACAGCGTCACCCAGAGTTTCGTATGGTAAAAATTTAAGCGCGACCTACGCAGCAAAGCGGCCGCTGCGCACGACCTGATTTTCGACGTAGAGCTCAAATAAATACCTTGTATTAATCATTCTTCTACTATTTTTTATTTTTATCCACAAAAGTTTCGTGCAGTTGTTTTCTTTCAGATTTCATTCCTTTCAATTAATTTGCATTATTCAATGTTCAATCGTCTCTTTTTGTCAGTTCTGCAAAGCAGCAAATGTCTTAGAAAAGCTGCAGCAAAAATACAAAAATGGTAGAAAGGGATAAATCCGAGGCAAATGAGCTGATAGCAGCAAGGAGCAGCTAGGAGAAGCTTACAAGTGAGCTTCATGTCCTAGCAGTAAGAAGCAGCGAAGAGCAGCACAGCATGCGCGCTATGGCGACTTGCATCGCGTTGGCAGGTGCCAGACTTACCCTGTTCAACCGGTTCGCTTATTTGCTATTGGTCAAATCAATGCACTGACCAATAGCAGAGGGGTGAACCTGATGAACCTGTTGAAGAGGGTAAGTCTGGCACCTACCAATGGCTGCTACAGCAAGAAGCAGCAGCGATGCTTGGCTGCAATCGATATGCAGAAAATTGTTGCTACTAGCAGTGTTGCAGCATATTTTTCGGTTATGGCTACAGATCGTCAGGTGTGTATGAAGCCTAACTACCAGTATGTGGCCCTGTCAACTCAAAATTATAACAACGCTACCCAGAAACAGCTGTAGGCCTGTCTTAGTTAGGCAAAAGCGCCAGTGCGTAAATCACACCTGCATCAAGAAAGTGCGCATCAACAAGAAGAGGCCGCGTAAACACGAGGAAGCTCTTAGGTCAAAGTTTACCACCTTCAGTAATCGAACACCTCAACAACGAAATTATGATGCGTTGCATAGCCCCTCAACCTGCACGACACTTCCACTAAATGCAGTGGCTCAACAAGATAGACGACTGTCAGACCTGGGTGGTTAGGTAGCAGAGCCTCCAAGCGCACGCAGAACCCACCTGTCAACTCATGCGCTAAATCCTGGAACGCGCTCCAAGCCATTGACACCCACTCAAAGGGAAGTGGGCAAAGGAGGTGGGCTTCTAAAGCTCTTGGACAGGACATGGCGCATGAGTTAGAGGATAGGATTGGACCTACGGTGTACTGGGGGGGGGGGGGAAGGGGGAGAGAGAGAATTATACCTAAAATAAATCAGAAAGGGTCATTTCCCCGAAGCACTGCCTCCAGATTTGGTGAAATATTTCAATTAAGTCGCTTACAAAAGCGATTAGTAGATTAATAAGGCGCTTTCTATTGGGTACTTGATTGTATGACAAAAGAAACGAAAGCAGAATTGAACACAAAATCTTATAACCTGTTCTTATCAGACTAGCATACTTACCTTTCCTCCAACAATGCCACAATACCGAAATCATTCACATGTCGGATAACAAGTCCGCTTGCCACATTGACAGCCGCTAACCCTCGGTAACGCACCCGATGATGCGCCTGAGTAGCAAATAGCAAGGTCTACGGATGAGTTTCTATGAATTGAACTTACCTTTCGCTGCTAATTCATTTATATATAACCTATTCAAGCAGATTTACATGTAAGGTGTTGGAAAGAATATACCATGTACTATGTATACAGCTCTAGAGTCGGCATCAAAAAAGTCGATCCCTTCACTAACTTGAAACCATAGATTGTGCAAATGTCTGTCACTAGACTTTTTAAACTTGATTCTCCACTGAGAAGGAATCCTTGAACAATGTATCATACGAATAGGTTGGTAACTTGCTGATAATAAACTACAGAAAGACCAACAAAAGAAACTAATGTAAGTCACTTATCTACTTCCCCGCACAAACAGCGAAGAACATTGCGCCTTGTCCACTGCGAACACCTTGCGTAAACACATCGCATTTGCACCAGTGCTTGCTAAGAATTAACAACCTAAGCGTTTTGTATGATACAGTATGTCCAATATGATCAGTAATCAAACCTTCTGCTTCGGCTCGACCGCGACTTCTTGTACATCGTCATACATTTCCAGTGAGTCTTAGATGAGTTTTCGTTGATGCGCAAAATCTTGAATCTCGATATCAAATGATGCAGAAGACCATAAGATGCGAAGAACACCAGGACTTTTACGTAAGTACATGTACATTGATAAAGTAGCACACACACAACTTAGCCAGTACCTTGAGGGAAGGTAGATGCGCTTCTGGCCGACTAAGGCCCCGGTCAGACTTCACGCGACTTAATCGTCGCGACCAAATCGCCAAGATTTCCATTCATTTTCATTTCACATTCAAAAATTTCGGTTTGGAAAAGTATCACAACCGAATGCAAGTTGATCTGCATGGAATGATGTTGTAACAGTTGTCTCCTCGCGAATCAGTCGCGACGATCAAATCGCGTGAAGTCTGCCCGGGGCCTAATGCGGTAATGAAAGAAGTATTGTGGTAATAGATATCATATCTCATTCGCTACCTTTTGGACCAAAAAAAACGAAAAAAATTTTTGCGCTTACACGAGCAGACTCATTAGATGTGCCTTCTTTTCTGACCATGTAGAGTTCACCCGAGATCATTTAGCGCGAATTGCGGGTCCGCTCATACGCGGATTTCACGCTCATACGGGACGAATGTCGGAGTATGATTCCCTTCAACCGTGAATACAAACACAGAAAATTTAATAGGTGAGAAGAAAACCAACTTGGAAAGGAAGAGCGGCACGAAATGTTTGGTTTTCGAATGCAGTTCTTTCCCGCTATACCGATCGATGGCGCGGAGTTAAAAGTTTCAATTGTTGGTGTAGCAGACATAATCGTTGAGCTGCTCAGTATTAGATAGCGACAAGCTGAACATTCGAAATATGTGACATTTCTTATCCTCCAACTTAGCCTGAACTTACCCCTCAATTTGGAAATGCTGCCAGGTAAGTACATCAATTTGAGACTTGGTATTCTTGCTGCCGCAAGGGCCATGCGCTGGAGCTATGAAACTCACTTTGTGCGAGCCTATAACTTGTCAGCTATATGGAACTTGGCGAAAATGGACGCAGATATCCACAACTATGGAGAGGCGAATGTACCACAGACACAAATTGCGGCTTCCTCTGGCTCAAGGTTCACACATTCGCAGATCCACGGATTCTTGATACTCAAAAATAGCTGGTGGCATCCTGCTGGCGATGACACGTTGATGTCATAAACAAAGAATACTTGACTGCTTCACCACGAATCTGGAAGTGGGCTCTTCCACCTTCGGATCGCCCTACCGAACCCACATTTCTCCTGAACAGGTGTGATCCGCGAACCTGGATAGAAACTGGCTACATTTTTGCGCTTGTGATATTATGGGATCAGATAGCTAAAAGATATTGTGAGCAAGTACCCGACAACTTGCGCTTACTCCGGCTCTGTCTTGCCGCTTGGCTTGAGAGAATGAACAAGTTGAAACTTGTGGCGGCGTCAGCACAGCGTTCTCGACACGTGCAGTTTTCACATGCATCTTGCTCTTGCTAGGTCAGTATTATGCTGTCTCTTCTCTTGTTCTTGTTCCTTTAGAACTAGAAAAAGTTGCCTTAGATTTCTAAATTATTCGTGTGGGATGGCCAAATCCAGATTCGACGCTGTGAAAGTTGTCGCGTGTAATAGGTTCTGACGCATTTTCAGAAGTATCATTTTTCAAGATTTGGTTAGCGAAGTTTTACACTGTGATAGTAGCACTCGAGGGCCATTTTCCGAACTTCAGACACGAAAGCATTTCTGGTTAGAATTCAACTACTTCAACGGTTTCATGGTGTAAGTACCCTAGATTTTTTATAGCTAACAAGATATGACGTTTTCAAGCACTCCCTTTGTGTCACAGAAAATTCAAGTAGTCTAGGTTCGAGGGTAATGGGGTTACTTTGTAACACAAAAAAAAAAAGAAGAACCATGGACCAGTGAGAATTATTGTGAACCATAAGCAAACTTATCTTTAGATCAGTCAAAAGCTATGAAGAATGAGCCCCATAAGCAAAATTAGATCAGTCAAAAGCTATTGAATGAGCCCTAGAGTCTCCATCTTTATCTGCTGGCTTGCGTTTATATAATTCTACTTCATAGGCACGCGCCATACTTAATCCGCTTGATCCACTTGATCCGCTTCATCCACTTCACTATTGGTCAAATCAGCCAACTGACCAATGGCGAAGTGGATGAAGCGGATGAAGCGGATCAAGCGGATCAAGTATGGCGCCTGCCATACTGGGATACCAAATGCGTGCCATCCCTAGTGTCTTGCGGGAGTCAGGCGTTACCAAATTAAGGCCGCAATCGTTCTTGTTGTTCGTATACAGCGCCTCCAGTTCCGATCAAGCCAAAATCTGAGTGATGCGCATCTGCACCGCCGCGATGTTGATCTTGCGCGTGGACTTTCAATGTATGAGGCGTTTTTGAATGCCCTAGGCCTAGGCCCAGGGCATACGTCCACGCAATTCTAGTCACCTTGCTAATTGCCAGTACATCAACTGTATATAACTCATCGTACACGCATTTGAATATATCGTCGATTCATTGGCCGCACGGATGCTCAGACCCTGCGGTCCACGCGCGGCGCGGCTGAATTGTCGCGAGAGCACGACTTGTACAATGGCGACTTCGTCCTAGAGCAAGCGCTCTACTCGCGGCGCGTGCTCCGCAGCAATGCCCATTTCGTGCGGTCAACGAATCAACTATACTTACGAAATTGAAACACATTTCGCATTAGTCTGCGGGTGTGGGACGACCGGCAAAGAGCCAAATAGCATGGCGCCGAAAATGGGCGAGTTTACGTGGGGTATGGGGGCGAACGTGGTGTGAGGATCCGGCGTAGCATCGTGCGGATGGAAAAAACGAATACAGCCTGTCTTAATCGGGATCAGGCTGATATGTTGGCGTAGATTTGTGCGCTCACAGCAATATAGTTTATGCTGCATATGCGCACTGTCGGAGAGAGCGAAGACGTTGAAGGGAGAGCAGATAAGCTAACCGTAGACATGACGCAAAACCCTCGCAGCACGGACTCCCGCAATGCCAGTTTTGGTCTGATGGGATTGGGATAGGCCGTAATTGCCACAGGCTGTATTTGTCTGCGGCTACACTTAGTTAGGTGAAGTCAGAAGCAGAGCGAAGCTGTACGCTGAATGGCGACTGGCTTTGGCAATAGGCGAATTTCAATGCAGTTGCCTAAATTAGAAGATCGGAGTGCAGAAGCAACACTGAGCGAGCTTGAATCTGGTACACCGTACCTGTATAATGTTGGAAACCCCCAGGCAGAGTAAGGAATTTGGAATAACCTAGAAATTGAGGCTATTGTGCGAAATCAATATGATTATGCTCAACATGCCAAATAAACTTACTAGGCAGAATATTAGCGGATTAGTGAACGTGACCCGTCACCGTGTATATAAAATAGTACTCTATAAACCCCTTGAACATGGTGTTTGTGTCGACTATGATATAACATCTCCAAATAAAATACCGTTGGCTTTGCTAGTCCTGTCATGTGGATTATTGCACATCGCCTGTTTCTTTTTTACTATGAATGGATTCTCCTTTGCACTCAAAGCTGGAAGGTTGTTGAGTTATCTGATCAAGAACTTCTCCTTCTTTTTTTCTTACTACAGGTCGTCCGTATCATGTTAATGTTGGGATCAGCTTTCTGTATAAAATAAATCGTAGGTGATTCTTGTTGCAGTTCAACCAATGGCTGACCAGGAAGAGAATGCGTCTATGGTTGAGGGCTTCACTCGAGCCATTCAACCACTTGCGTTCAATGAGTTCTACGATGCTGTTGATGCCCGTACCTATGGCTCATTAAATGAAGATCTCACCGAAAGCAAGTGTGAAGAATATTTTCGACTCTATGGTGAGTTTCAAGGAAAAGCTTCGAATTAAAAGTTGAGTATATTTGTAACATTCACATGTTTAACGAAATCATAGGCTTGAATAACCTAAAGGACTGCTATAATTGCCGTGTTCCGCTGGGAATCGAATGATAAACGTTTCTATGAGGGAGAATCTCGGGGTGGATTCGTGTATGGAATCTACACCGCGTGCGCACACCGCTCTTGACAGACTAGCTGATTAGTATAGCAAAATTACCCGTAGCAAAGACTCCCGCTTGGTTGTTACTAACAAGGGAAGTGTGTTTGGTCGAAGTGGCCTTTCCAGATGAGACCCATACTGCTTTGAAGAGCATTAAGCGGTGATTCCAAATGCCTTCCAAATCTGCTCAGCGCCTCTGGAAGCCGAGTTATGACCGTTTTTAAGAGCGAAAAACGAATGCAAAATTTAGGTAAAATCGACTGTTACAATCTTTCCAGCGCTCAGATAAAGCAATGTTAAGTATTAGCATATTAAACAAAATGTATCCATTGCATGAACGGCTCTGACACTTGACACTGGACCATTTAAGCAAATTTTGTTGAAGTTTTGCGTTCAATTTTTTTGCCTGAAAAATACCCATAACTCGGCGTCCAGAGGCGCTGAGCAGATTTGGAAGGCAGATTTGGAATCACCGCCTAATGCTCTTCATAGCAGTATGGGTCTCATCTGGAAAGGCCACTTCGACTAAACACACTTTCCTTGTAAGTTGTTCGCCTTCTCCAACGGTGCGCATACGTAGCGCAAATCCCTATCGCTGCGAGCGCGCAGATTTACGCAAATGTATCAGCCCGAACCCGACTGGGACAGACTGAAAAATATATTACTAATTACCAGTGGCGTACCGAGGGGGGGGGGGACGGAGGGGGGAGAATGGTTCGCGAAAATTCTGAATGTTGCTTACATAAATAAGAAATAAAAATGTGCAGGTGACTTTTTTATACTTGTAAATAATTATAATTTTTTAATTTTTTTTTGAAAATTCAATCTAGCTGTTGATGATTTCTGTATCATCAACCATTGATGAACTCTATATTCTATATAGCCTACGGAATCCCCGTAGGCTAAATGGTGAGCTACTCACTCTTGAGTATCTAATCACTCAAGAGTGAGTGGTACCCGTGCGCCAGGAGTGTAGCCAATCGGCGGCATCTCCTTTCAAGCACCAACTCGTGTACATTGTACCTTTTACTCGGTTCAGCTCCGCCTTCCTTCGTATATAAGGAGCCTCCGAATGTATTAGATGTTGCTCCCCGGTCCACACCGGGACACCTCACGACTCTTCTCGAATAATCTACGCCCGTGCGAATAAACCTTATTCCACAACCTCGTCTACCCCCTAATCACTTGGTACCCACCAAATTGGTGCATCGGCCAGTGATTTTCCTTGCATTTCTCGGCGAATCCTCCTAAGGACACGAGAAATCAAGGTCTAAGACCCGCGTGGCAGGCTCTACTATAGCCAATATTCGACTCTCGTGATTGCTGGTCCACCACTCTCACGATCAAGAGTCTTACTAAGTTGTCAGGTCCTATCCACAACTTAGTAGAGGTTTCTAGCTAACTGACTGGTTCACCACAGTTAGCGACAGACTCCTCGCACTCTCGGCTACTAATTAGCCAATATTCGACTCTAGTAATTGTTGGTCCACCACTTTCACTAATACGAGTCTTGCTAAGCTATCAGGTCATATCCATAGCTTAGCAGAGGTTTTCTAACTAACTGACTGGTTCACCACAGTTAGTACAAGAACTCCTCGAAACTTTTGGCTTTCCTAAAGTCAAAAAAGGACTCTGTGATTGTTGGTTCACCACTTTCACAAACAAGAGTCATCTTGCGAAGCTATCAGGTCATATCCATAGCCTAGCAAAGAGGTTTTTCTAGCTAACTGACTGGTCCACCACAGTTAGCAACAGGAATCCTTGAACTTTTTTGGCCTCAACCAGCCAAAAAGACCCTGTGATTGTTGGTTTACCACTTTCACAAACAAGAGTCATCTTGCGAAGCTATCAGGTCATATCCATAGCCTAGCAAAGAGGTTTTTCTAGCTAACTGACTGGTCCACCACAGTTAGCAACAGAAATCCTCGATCTTTTTTGGCCTCAACCAGCCAAAAAGACTCTGTGATTGTTGGTTCACCACTTTCACAAACAAGAGTCATCTTGCGAAGCTATCAGGTCATATCCATAGCTTAGCAAGGAGATTTTCTAGCTGAATGACTGGTCCATCCACAGTTAGCAAAGAAATCTCAACTTTCCAAGCTCATTCACGGTCGGTTCACCGATCTTGAGCTTTGGATCGTTACATCCACGGGACAGGTTCCAACACCTTACCGTCCAGTACAGCGTACAAGCCAACCAGGCGCGCTTGCTGACAGCTAGTAGACGCTCGGCACCCACTTGCCAACTCACTAGAAAGCTTCCTTGCAACCAGTTAGGACAGCTATCGTATCGAGGCCAGCCCTGCTGTCGCCCTCAAGCCAAAGCGATCAACACAAGGAGGATACACACTTCCAAATTGTAACGCTTGGAATTACCACACCAGCGCACGACTCTACCCAGTGCAGCAGAAAAGAAAATGGCATCGCTCCAGCTTTTCAAGATCAGTATTAACAACGCCTGCAAACTCGTGAAATCCCACGAGTCACAAATCGAAAATATTGATGTCCCCTTCACATTCCCCACACTGAAAGAAGAATGTGAACAGTACATAAAAGAGAAAACGGGACTAATAACCAATCTTCTCAACTCTCTACACAACGCAGTGAAGCTTCAAGAGACGCAAATCAACTCCGCGATTGAGTACATTAGCGCACGGAATGAGGAAAAAGAAAGAGACAAACTGATGATGGAGCTCAGTAAGCACCTAGAGATGGAGTCACTTGAACTGGAAGTGATTGTAGTGCAGTGGCGGACAAGGATAGAGTTCAGGCAGCATGAACTGAAAGAACAAGACGCACTACTGCACTGCAATGCTCCGAGCATACCGAGTCAACCAAGTAGTGATAATGGACAAGCTTGGATTCCAGAACGTAATGAAAGGCAGATCAAAATTCGGAAACCTCTGCTGGAAATTCCTACGTTCTCAGGCAATTTCCGAGAATTTAATAGCTTCTGGACCGTCTTCGAATCTCTCATCCACACTGACGAGGAACTATCGGATAGACAAATTCCTGTTTCTGAAGCAAGCACTGAAGGGGAAAGCCGCAGACACCCTGAGCTGCATTCCCGTCATCGGAGAAAGATATCAAACAGCGATAGATATCTTGAAGAAACATTTCGATCGCTCTGCCAACATGGCAGATATACTTATAAACGAGATCGAAAAACTACCCAGGGCCTCAGATGATCCAAGAAGTTGCCGAGACACTTTCGAAGCAATCAACTCAAGGATCATTCACCTGGAGCAAACGGGAGCAAAGATGAACGCAGACAGACTTTGGCGTCGAATAATCTTCTCCAAATTTCCCGAATCCATCTGTACGACCGCCATCCAGAAAGAAGCGGTGCAAGATGATCCATTTGATTTTAGCGAAATCCTGAACACCATTGACAGCATCATTTCACTGCGAGAGACAATCTTGCTAACAACGGAAACTCTTTTTCCAACCAATTACCACCCAAACAACCAAGAAGATGAAAGGACTACCAGATGCGATAGAGAAGAACACTTTTCGAAACCAAAACGCTTGTGTTTATGTGGACAACCACATTCTCCTCACACCTGTCAAAGCTACACCACACCAGAAGCCCGACGACTTGAAGCAACAAATCAAGGGGTGTGTTGGAGATGCTTTGCAAGCGATACAACTCGAACGCTTGCACGAATTTCGGTGTGTGCCCCAAATGCAAAGGATCACACCATGGATCTCTTTGCTTGTCAGAAGCAGGAAAACGCAGAGGATTCTCGACGCAATTCCGAGATTCTGCAATTGATCAACATTCACCTGCTCCTTGCTCACCATATGACATCAAGGAGGATCGTCATGAGATGAGTAATACGCACGTCGTACAAGGCTCACTACAAGAAGCCCACAATCCAGATGTGCTTCCAGTTGCACAGGATCAATGCATTCTTCAAATTGTTTCGGCACTCATATTCAACGAGGCAGAGTGGGATTACCAGCCAGTAACGATACTACTTGACTCTGGTGCACAACGAAGCTTCATCAAATCAGGACTTTGTGAAGAACTCAAGCTTCCAGTCCTTCGTGCTACTTCGTTTACTACATCTGGAATGGGCGAACAACAAGAGCAATTCAACTCATCTGAAGTGCAAATCACTCTAAAAAGTCTTTACAGCTCCGACAAGCTCAAGAATTTGTCATTGCACACTAAGCAGAAGCTGACTACCGACATGCAGACAGCAAGTCTCACGGAAGCAGACTTGCGTTTCATCTCTAACAAAAAGCTGATTATCGCTCAAGATACGCTCTCCTCGAAAAGCGTCTCACCTTATCTGATCATAGGACAAGACCTCCTAAACCTTGTTACTCGCCACAACGACAGAGTGCATAAGCTTCCTTCGGGCCTCATTCTAACTCCAACCATCTTTGGATACGTTATATCAGGAACGAGTGCCACTACCACTACATCAAGTTTTGTTGGCACATTCGGCTGCATATCAACGCTGAAGGAAACACTCAGGAAAAACCGCCCAACACTTCCACAACAGAACGAGAGATTGAAGAAATCCAAATCGTACTCTTATCTCAACAGTACGAACCGAGCGGGCAACGAGCCATTATCGGCAAAGCAGGATGAAGGAACAATCCAAAGGAGAACGATTCCGTTACGAATAAAACTACGACCATGTTCTTCATCCAGCCGACAGTCCACCTTCACAAGGCAAACACTTACTGCTTCCGTCCTCAGTGAAGCTCGAGCAGATAGACAGCATTGGTTAGCCACAATACGTTCCATCACAATCTCCGATGTTCGCTCCCGATATCGGATAGAATGGCTACCGCAGCGGTTCCCAAA